GTACCCATTAGGTATCATACTTTTATCCACATGGACCAATCAAAACATTGTAGTTGAATTCAAAGTGATATTATGGTTTCGACCAATTCCATAAGTGATAGGTACGATACCCATTTCTTAATGAGAGAATTCTCTAAATAGGAGTAAAAACATTTTGAAATTCCAAAATAGGAGTATCATGTTTTTTATTCCTTGAATAGAAGTAATCTGGCAAGTTTGGAAGAAAATGTCATGTTTAAAAGCCTTGTAATGTCAAACTTGACAGAAATTTACTCATATTCATGGAATAAAAAACATGATACTCCTATTTTGGAATTTCAAAACGTTTTTACTCCTATTTAGGTCAATTTCTGTTTCTTAATTGAGTGCCGTAGTTCTCACCTTTAATTTAACCCAAGGTTCTAGATGCCAACTTCCTATATACTAGTATATATATAACTTCATTTCTTATACGATTTTTCAAATTCGCTAGACGTCAATTTCCTATATAACTTCATTTGCTTTGCCCGCTCCTTACTGGTTGGGCCGAGCCCGCCACACTCTTGAGCAAAAATAATACTAGTAAAAATCCACGCCCGTTCTATATTTCCAAAATAAGCTACAAGTTTTTATATTGTGGCGATTAAGCTTCTTCAATTATTTATTTAAAAAACAAGATGACCATAATTTAAACTCATGCTCTCAAACATTACTAAAATATAGATGACATGTCATCTTATCTCAAGGCCTCCCGAATCGATCGAACAATTACCTAAAAATAGCTTCATCTAATTCTAAATTAAAGTTCATCACCAAAGACAAGTTGACATAGACACCAATGGGATAGAGGTGTGAGATGAAGTGTTCACCTAATCCACTTATACTTGAACTAAACAAGTTGACATAGACACCAAAGACAAATATAACAAGTCCGCACATCCTTCCATAGAAAATTAAGGCAGAAAGTTTAAAGCATGCTTTGGATATGTCAATTATATACATGGGCCTTTTCAGTTCATACATCACCATCACTCACACATATGTGTCTATATTGTTTTGTCCAAATGCTTGCTCGAGATTCCTTTCCTCACTAAAATTCAATATCTTTAATTAATTCGTTTTGTTTAAATGAGTTTAATTTAACCACTAACTTTTAAAAGTATATATGGCTCAGCTCGCTGTAAGACTCGCCGAATATATTTTATTTAATTTGTGTAAATTACGATTAAACTTATGACTAATATAATAGCACTGAGTATTATGTTTTAAAATACGAAGTAATAGACAGGAATTTATTATTTAGAAGCCATGATCATAATATATATAGTATATTGGTAGTGATTCAACTTACTTTAGGAATGAGAGTAGAGAATGACCAGGGGCGGCCCTAGGGGGGTGCAAGTGGGGCGGGCGCCCTAGGCCCAAAAAATATGGGTAAAAAATAGGCCCAAGTTTAGTTCTTTGTAACAGATGTGAGTAAGCTAATTTTTCAGCCCTAAAGTAACAATTTTTCGAGTGGAATTTGTTGAAGTTCTTCTGAATGGATTTTTTTAGCGAAACTTATGATCATGTTTTCTATGAAGTTTAGGGTATGTGAGAAAAAAATCAGTTTAATGTTTAATTTAGAAGTCACCTAAATAAATTATTGAAAACACTGCTTTTTATACATATATTGGCGCATTGTGTTTCAATAATTTATTTAACTGACTTCACGATTTCATTTTAAGCTGAAATTTTATGGATATAATCTACACGTGATGAAAAACATTCTCTTAAAATATCTTAGAGAAATTCCGCTCGAAAGCAGATTATTGTGATATGATTATTTGATTAGTTTATTAATTGATTCCATTCATGGTTGTTTGATTACTTAATTGTTGATTGTTTTCTATTGAGTATTGGTGTTATAACTTGTTAATTTTGTTAGACAAACATTTCCAATTATGATAAAATTTATAAACTTAATTAATTTCAAATTGTAATAAAAAGGATTGAATCTGAATACGATATATACAAAATAATAGAAGATTAGAGAAAGCGGCGATATATAAGTAATAAAAAACTCAATGGAAAAGTTTGTTTGTGTAAAGAAGTCAAATTCTGAATGTCCTTCTCAAGATGAGAACACATAGCCAAGTTCTAAATGTCTTGAAATATTATTATTATAATTATTATGCATGTCATTTAAGATAGAAAATAGTTCTACAATTTTTTTGTAACACTAGGCCGATTTTAATTTTCCGCCCCTAGGCCTTCGAACATACAAGGCCGCCCCTGAGAATGACCTAAATTGGACTAAAGTGTGGTCAAAGTGTATGATGGGGCATGAAACAAATAATTCACTAAATTGTTTGTGTTCATAGGAATAGTGAGGTGAATGACAAAATGCGCTTAGTTAAAAAAAATGTATAATTTAAAGGCACAAAGAATATCATGTCCTGGAATTAACAAGCTAAGAAGATGACATGCATGTACGTGTTAATACTACTGTCGTTGTCAGGTCATAATAAGTATCATTAAATCAAATTAAAATTAAAAAATCAAGTCATAATGTAATGCTAACAATAGTTCTAATGATCTATATGACAAGTACCTTGAAGTTTGATGGCATCAGACACTCTCAAGGAGAAAATCACATGCTCGAATCTCATCCAAATTCAAGGATATTGGCTTTAACATAGAACAAATATTATAACATGTTGTTAGAAAAATTTGCCCAAAAAACATTTATATATAATTCGACCAGATATCACATTTAATATATCTCATCCCACTCTATGTTTTACACTTCTACCGTACAGCAACAATTCGATTTATGTGGTGATATAAACAATACCAAAAACTCGTTATAGGAAAAAAAATTGTTAGCAATAAACAAAAACACTAAACACCTAACTTTGACTTCTTTAAAAAGTTCCATGGACTTTTAAATGACTGATTTGCACTTAGTCAATTTTCACGTGTGACTGTTATTAGTTTTGTAACTTTGATAAATTCGATATTGTAATTAATAAGTTTTTTCAATTTAAGGATTTCCTGCCGAAAAGTACACTTTCTAACTGAAAATTCGGTGTTAGCGGCATCTTTTTCTGTTTATTATTTGCTGGAAAGTGTATTCTTTGGGGTGTCTTTAAATTGAAAATATTTATTTATTGATTCCAGTCTAGCTTACAGGATAAAATTGCAAGTGACTAAAGTTGTATAACTAATACTCGTAATGAAAATAGCCGAAAGTTATGAGACTAAAATTATAAATCTTCCACTTTTAAATTCAAACTTTTTATGAATGAGTTTTGTTTATTTATATAAATCTATAAACTTCACATGAATGATGAATATCAATGTTATGAAAAATAGAAGTTCAAAAAAGTTAACTAATTAAAAAGCATTCATAAGTCTAAGCATCATAAGAAGTCACAAAATTATTACACACAAAGATAAAAAAAATAAAAATCTCAAAAGAAACAAATAAATGCAATTCATCTGGAAATGAAGGGTTATGTAAGCAGAATAAGTCAAGTCTAAGCATCTTGATTTATTATTTGTCAAAGAACTCAATATTGCTTGGATGACCCATACACTCGATCTTGTTATGATTTGTAGATATATTATCCTAGTTAATACGTATGAAGGGTAACTACTGCATTCACTGTTGCATGCTCTATTCCTTCATGCCCCGATCCCTAGCATTTGAGAGGTTATAAATCGCAATGACTCAGTCAGTCTAATGGTAATATATAACTAGATCTTATACTCGTGCGCACCAGAAGTCCAATCCAGCATACAAGAGTTGTAATCTTCATAGGTCGTTGCAGGTTTTGATCCTTAATTGGTCATTCTTGCAACTTTCTCACCACTCGACCAACTGAGCTACTCATGCAGGTATTGCATGTTGTATTAAATTATTATATATGTGTAGAGCCGGTAGAGGGGATACTGCAATCACGGGTGGTCATCATACCCCTCGACTCGGTACCGGTTGAGGACCGATTGGTCACTTTTAATTTGGAATTTTATAGTCACATTTATGAAATGTTACTTTTGAAGGCTAAAGAGTCAAATAGGCCCTTGAACTGACTTAAAGTGTTCAATTGGCCCCTTATATAGGAGGTTCTGCCCGGCTGTCGCCAATTGGGGCGGTTCCCAGTGGATTTTATTGATGAATTTTTTTGAGAATCTTCTTCATTAAGTCTAGTTTACTCATACCAAATTTCAGCTAAAAATTCAACCGAGAAAGTAGTCAAATGATTTTTTGAAAACAACTGCGAAGTTAAACGGCGCAGTACATTTCGGAAAATCATTTGACTGCCTTCCCGGTTGATTTTTTAGCTCAAATTTGGTATGGGTAAACTAGACTTAATGAAGAAGATTCTCAGAAAATCTCATCAAAAAATTCCACCGGGAACCGCTCCAATTAGCGACGGCCGGGCAGAACCTCCTATGTAAGGGGCTAATTGAACACTTCAAGTAAGTTCAAGGGCCTATTTGAACTTTTAGAATCGATTTTCTCTTCTGAATAATCAATTGCGGACTTCTATTATTCCTAGCTTCTACACAAATTTAAACCACACATTTTCTATTTATTATATGATATGCTGATAGGATAAAATTAAAGTAAGTTACAAGAGAAGGGGAGAGTATTATAAAGAAAATATATACTCCCTCCGTCCCAAATTGCTTTGCAAAGTCAACATTTTTTTGTCAACTAATAATAAAAGTCAATGCTTTGTATCGATAATTCATTCAATTTTTAATGATTAAAATTTACATATTCGGAAACTACAATAAAATCTCTTCAAAGTTGCAAACTTCAAATTAGAATATAATTAAAAGTTGACATCTTAATTAAGCGAATAAAATGAAACTGTTTGACTAAGAAAAGTCAAATTTGAAAATCAATTTGGGACGGAATTAGTATTACGTATAAGCATGCTCACTAAGGAACACACCGTGAAATGAATGATTAACATTTATTTGTATAAAATATTTAGAGCATCTGGAGACTCGAGTATTCATTATCACGTCAGTGTGCTCCATATATTTTCTGTATTTTCTTATACATAGATTTTCTTGTATAAATTACAAACTACTTCGCCAAACTCCAACATAAAGAAGTCCCCGGCCATAGGAAATGCGGAGCATAATCCTCTAGCCAAGTTAACATTAAATGGAGGGTCTGATTCCATTTGTTTACCGGAGTATCAAGAGAAGCATAACTCGCCGCCGGTACGAGTGCCTCTCCTCCGGGACGGCGGCTGCCGGCACCTTCAACGTATCACCACACTTCTATCCTAGTACCTTTAATGTTGGTGATGACCACTTCATCGTGGCAGCTACTGACGGAAGGAGGAGACACGGCGGCCGGCGACAAATGTCGCACCAAGTGGACTATTCCGGTGGGTTTTCGCCGGAGCGTTCAGCCGGAGTTGCTTCTTCTAAGTCCAAACAACTCGGGAAATTCAAGAGTCACAGGATGTTCTGTTGTGTGACCGGATTATAAGAGGGGAAAGCTGCAACTCTGTATCTATCATTAAAAAAACATGTACAGTTCGTTCTTAACTTCTTAATTGGTTTTACTGAATAATTTATTTTAAGTTTTTTTTGTTTGATCGTGTAATTAAGTATGTTGAATGGTATGATCATATAACATTCTCATTTTTAGTAAGTCATGTATACTCCTAAATAATTTTGGTCTCTAATATGTATGTATTATATTGTTCAGATCAAAACATAAACCAAGCTAGCTTATTAGCTTAAGGCTACGTTTGGTATGATGTAATCATCTAATGTATGAGCATTTCATGTTGATTCAAATAAGATGTTTGGTATTACATTTTATTTTAACATATGTAATAAGAATTACATTAAAAAGTTATGTATTTGAGATTACACTTTCTTGTGTTTCTTTTCGTGCGGCTAGTTGCTCCCTCTCCTAGCAGATGAACTTTTTTCATTCAAATCTGCACTTTTTCTTCTTCCCGAGTGTTTTGGCACTACTAACCAAAAATAGTAATGGAATATTGATTTCATTACATTACAACTTGTATTGCATTACATACTTTATTTCATTGCATTGTATTACATCATACCAAAATAAAGCTCAAACAAAAGTGCATGTTTATAACCCTTATAATATACTCTGTATATTTTGGTATAAAAAATCTATTTTTATACATAGTAATTTATAATACATTATACTACGTATAAAAGCATAAAATCATGAATTCACGATTTTTCTCTTTAGTTTTTCAATAAAAATTAAAAACCAAATGGACTGCCGTACTAATTAACAACTTATGGATAACTTTGTTTACATACAAATATAACTCCTTTAAAAAATTGATAAGGAAACGTTGTAAAATAGTTTCAACAAATAAGAACGCAATGACTCTGTTTAAAATATTGAGAAATTTTCTTAAATAGAACTAAAACATATACAAAGTGTACAAATAGGAAAATCCTTTAAATATGACTTATTTACTATAAATGAGAAAGATTTATATTTTTAATAGGATCAAATAAGTCGAACTAAAACATTATTAGTCCTATTTTGTGACTGCCTGTGAAATTTTAGTGTTATCTGTAGCAATTTCTTTAAAATATATGCATAGGTATCATCTCTATCCATTATCCAATGATTAGAATATATTAAAACAAACTAGAACAAACATAAAGCCACACATACATATCCGGCTAGATCAAACCATAACAGGTTAGCCCATAATTATATACACTACAAAAAAACACTGGATTGACATAAACTTTTGGCAGGGAATCAGGGTTATGCCAAATCCATACCAAAAACATTTTGGCACAAGCTATTTGGTACGAAATCATCAGTCAATTCATGTCATATCCGTGTAAATCCCGTAATTTTTTTGTAGTGATAATAATAAAATACAGATACATGAGATCATACGTAAATAAAACAAACCAATTCAAATTAGATTAGATCATGTCACTATATTTCAATCTCAATTGACTATTCCTAAGATTTGGAAGGCTAACATTTTTTTAGCGTATACTTACATTTATTATACATTTATACTTCACCATCCCAATTTAAAATTCTACTGTATTTACTTTGGGGGGTCGAAAATAAGACTTTCATTCCTTTTAAGGAAATAATAATTGTATTACTTCTTATACTTGTATAAATAAATATCAACCAACGTTTTTAATTTGATGCATCATGCATGTGGACTGTGAAGGAAGTTTTAGTACGTCCATAAAGATTAAAGAAGATGCAGGAAAAAGAAAAATTATAACCCAAATCCTAGGCATAATTCAGTAGAAGAAATTTTGTTGTAGGAGGGGAAAGAGGCGAAATAATTAAGGGATGTAGGGTTTTAATTAGGGTTTATTCTTTCTCCTCCATACTTGTGTTGAAACTCAAACTCAAACTCCATGGCTAGAAATACATTCAATTTTAAAATATAAAGGAATGTCTGTTCAATTTGTTTGTAATGTATATAGTGTACAAGTGTGGAAGAATTAATAATAAAAAGAAGTAAAAAAATTGGAATGTCTTGCTAATTAACCATGTTTTCTCTAAAAGATGTGCAGTTACATTTGGAAGCACGCAAAAAACATCCCCATAAGCTTCAGCCTTTGTCTAGTAATATTTAAAGGTGCAGCCTTTGTTTAGTAATATTTAAAGGAATAGATGGAGCTTGGAGAAGTTGTTCATTTATGTTTCTTTGTTTAGAATGAACCAGTTGTACGTTAGTTGGGTGGATCATTAGTAGGGGGAATGACTATATATGTCTGTTCCAATGTATATATGATATATTATTGTCAATAAAGGGGATTGCTGACCACAACAAGAAGGGATAATGTTTCTATTTAGAAGTGTTTTTAACTTTTTATTCTACTTTTGAGGAGTGATTTATTGTAGTAAAAGAAATGTTTAATGGTACTAGTTGATTTTTTTTAATAGTTAATGGAACTATGGAACTAGTTGATAGTGTTTGAAATATATAAAAATTAAAAATTAAAATTTTAATACAAGTTTAAAGCAGAAGTAAAACACTACTTAAATCTCTAATTGACTATTTGTTCCAAATTACTTGTCGCATTTACTATTCTAGAACTGTCTAACTCTCATAATGTTTAATCTAACGCACCGATTTTTTGACATTCAAATTCAATAGAACACCACGCATAGTTTCTAAATATGCAAAATTAATCCCTAAATACTAAGATGAATCTTGAACTTGTTTAGCCAACATTCTCCTAGCAAAATCCCAAACATTGAAATACTGAAAATGATATTACTTGTAATGCGAGACATTTAGAAACATACTAGGGGTCATACTAAACCGACCTCATACTAGGCCGAGGTCATACTAGGCAGAGCTCATACTAGGGGTCATACTAGGCCGAGCTCATACTAGGCCGACCTCAACGGAAACAAAATGTCCTGTAAAGTATCAATGCAACAAAGAAACAGGCAACTGGCAAAAGTGGATACAGAATTACAGATACTGAGTAAGTGAAAGTGAAGCAAAGGGTACAATATGAAATATAGAACATTTTCAACTAGAAGATATAAAACAGATATTGGGGATTCTAGGAAAATATTCTGCTATTTCGCGTAACGAAAACTGCTATATAGAAAAATGGAGATCAAGGACAAGAGTCGTCCAACATTGCAGATGATTCAGACGAGTGGTGCAATGAGGGAAGGAGCCAATTAAAGAAACCAAGATGAGTCTCTCCCCTTAATCTCTGAGACGAATAATCCACTACCATATCCCATAGATCCCCCACGGTCCATTCATGGGATATGATCCATTGCACCACCTGCGTTATGCCAAATATTACACAAAATTTTATGACTAAAAAACGTGTTTTGAATTACGAGAAGTCATCTCATTCCTGGGAACTAAGCAAAACCCATGCTATACTAGGGGCATGTGATGGACTATAGATTCAAGAACTGAGAATTTCCAACAAGAGAATTCCTAAGAATTCCGATTCCAGATGTGGGATAAGTGGTGACTCGCAGAAATTGAGTGAAAATCCAAATGGGAGATTTTGGAAAAAGTTATGCACATACATACCTGATCTAGCAAATTCAACGCTTCCAAATCAAAGGTGTAATATGAGATAAAAGGTCTCATTGCCTGAAAAACAAAGATTTTTTTATCATATATATTTAGATATCTAAGCCTTTAAATAACAAAAATAAGTAAATATAATGAGTTTGAAAAATATATAAAATGAACTTATTTAGTTTGAGAAACCCATTTTTACCAAATTTTCTTTCCTTCTTATTTTATATTCTGTTTCCTCCCTAAATTCTGAATTCCAAATGGATCCTAAAACTAGTATGATGAATATATTGACGAGAAACAACGAGGAGAGTCATACCTGAGACGCAGCAATCCATTGCAACATTGCTTTCAATTCAGGGTTCCCGTGAAACGCACCGCAACCCCAATTCCCAGTTGCAATTCCAATTTCAAGTCGAGTTTCTGGGAGCTCACAATTTTCATTCATGTGTCTTGTATTACGCAGCAAGTTGTCACAACTTCCTTCCATTGCTTGAACTGAAGATGAAGGGTGTTCAACACGCTGCATGTCACAATTAAAACAAATATCCCCACGAATAAAAAGCCATAGATATAGACAATACTTGTCATAAATGATTAACATAGGAAGTTATAGAAAGTTTAGGAAGGTATCTCACAGAGAGGTTATCTGTCAAAATTCCACACAAGTCCTCTTGATCACCATTATTCCTCCAGCATTCACGGGGTGAGCTGGCTTGAGAGAATTGTTGATGATGGTGATTTGCTTGATCAGAAAAGCCACAGAATGCCTTGTTGATCTCCCTGCAGAAGAACCAAGTTTGTACTATGGATCAATGGGTGTGCTTTAGTCATTACGGTGACACACTGACATTCCAGAGTGGTAAGATAATCCGTATTTTTCTGAAGTTTTTGAATGATGCACTCCAATGAAAATATGAACCTAGATAGCACAATGCATGATTTTCTAGGAACCGTCAATTATGCTACACAGAGTTTCAAAACACACATTATAGTTGGCTATGCATCCAAATTCAAGACATGCTCATTTGGAATGATTTTTACTAAATAAACACACACGGATAACAGGTGGATAATATATGGGTATATAAATTTTCCATACGATTTTATTGACATACATAATAAATCACATAATGGGAGCCTTGGCGCACCGGTTAAGATGTTGCTATGTGACCAAGAGGCCACGGGTTTGAATCTTGGGAGTGGTCTCTTGAGAGGCACCGGTTAAGGGAAGGCGTGCCCCCTCAACACCCTTGTGGAGAGACCCTTATCTGGACCCTTGCTATGCAGGGATGCCAATGTGCATTGGGCTGCCCTAAGCTAAGATAAAAAATCACATAAATGCATAACAGACCAGACTTACCGGAGAAGACATTCAAGAGTATATTGTCTCTTCCCAGGACTATGCAGTGCATCTATGGCAACCACCCTCGTCTTACGCCTTCCAAGATGATCAATGCCCTTCTCATCTACATAATCGCCACAAAACCGAAAAGAAGAAGCATATCTGTAGTTTATGAAAAAGTAATTTGCATAATTAGTGGGCTTAAGTAATATCAAATCTTGTGATGCGACATGACTATACCAAGTATCTCATTCATCATCATATAATGATGCTAGTCTCCAAGAAATTTGAAAGAACTTATTATAATGACACTGACTTTGAAACTTCAGCCTATTATTCCTCTGTAAAAAAGTTCACATCATGAAGGAAATCCAGAACAAAACTTTGCCACTACATTTTTTGCATGAATTTGTAGTACTAACTTATTTCAATGACTAAATTAATTGACATTATAAACTTGAGGACAGCAACCCCAACATAGTTTGAATTAAGGTACATGATGATGATGATGATGATGATGCATGATGCATTATCTTAATTAACAAAAAACAAAAGACATGTCCTCATGCCTCAGCTACAGTACAGTTAAATAGATAAGTAATGTATGAGGTTATTCTCAGTTGCATAGTGCAAGTGACACACTATTCCTAAATGAAAACTAGATGTACTTAAGTATGTTTATACTCACCCTGTATAGTTCAAAAATCTTTCAGTGCCAATAATTTCTATCGACTCGTTATCTTCCATTGCAGGCAAGAAAAGCAAAGCAGCGATTAGTTCTGGATTTATCATGAATCGAATTTCTTCCTAAACAAGATAGTTGCAAAACAATTCTCAGATGACTATAAAACAAAAATTATTGAGAAGGATCACACTACCACAGGAAGGTTTCATGATTCATGGGATTATTAGTTTATTACTAAAACAAAACTAGAAAAACACTAATGTACAATGTGCTCAGTAATTCAAAAGACACGTTCAAGAAAAACTTATGTGGATCTAAGCAAACAAGAAGTACATTCTTGAAGCATATCTAATAGTGGAGTCGGTTATCCAGTTCTATCATGTATATAGTATATGTTCTACTTCGTATTACTTGTACTTTTTTACAGTAGTCAGATTATTTATCTGCATTAAGACATTAAATCATTAACTTGATTCTTTCCATCATAACCACAATCTGGATTCTGCATTAATACAATCATTCTAGAAATAAGAAACAAAATGTGTTATACTTGAATAATAATCCAACTCTTCTTCGCTGTGGTGCTTTCAAGATGCATTAACAAACAAACAAACAAACAAACAAACAAACAAACAAACAAACAAAAATAATAATGAAATGACACTTAGAAAGTTAAAAGTATCCATAAATAAATTTAATAGTAATAAATTGATACTTAGATACATGAATAATTTCCCATTTGCCAGAATCTCAAAGTATAACATACTACCGACACTGACAACCATGAAAACAAAACAAAAGCCATGCATATGATCATACAAGAGTAAAACAAAAAATCGTTCTTTTGTAAATGCAGAGGCCAGAGAGAGTCCATACATGCTTACTAAAGTATGCATCAAACAAATTGAACCCGAGGAAATATAATTAACTAGAGGGAGTGCATTTAACAAGAGTGAGGCTAGGTATACTTTTTTTGGTACATTCTTGCGTGGCATGCATCTATTGGATGATGAAAGTATGAAACCTTATCTAACATTTCATCATCCAATAGATGCATGCACACAAGAATGCACTAAAAATGTTTCAAAAAAATGTACACTTAGCTTTATTGATTTAACAAACCTGGACACAACCTCTACTAAGAGCACCACCTCCTATATACTTATTTGCAAAATCCACTTCAAGAGCCTCCCTGGATTGATCTTCTATAAATCCAGATTTGAAAACCTATTGAGAACCACAAACATTAACGTATTTATATTAAAGGCATACAAGTTATGATACCATGATCTTCTCATCAATGTTATCCTGTATCTCTGTAATCATGTATACTTGTCACTGATTTTTTTGAGATAGCATTTAGGCCTGTTGGTTTATTTTATTTTTCCATTTAAAAAAAAAAACTACTTAAATAGCACCAGCTACTCCAAATTGGAATAAAAAAATGGGCATGTTAGTGACACAATTGACAACCACCCAATGCACATGAAAACAATAGGTGTTTGGGGCCCACCCGCCTGTTTAAACATAAACAATTACGTCATTGCTTAAACTTTGAGGTTTCCAACTCAAGTCGAGACAAAACTGGCTAACTTCCTATCACAGATCTAGCATGATACCAGAGCCTGACTCTACTCACTTTTTAAATTAAACGTGGAAAAGGGGGGAAAGGTTATTCCTTACCTCAAAGGGGCATAATGAGACATAGGATTCGCTCCAAAACCTACAATCATGTTCTCCAGGAAGAAATTTTCTCTCAAAAGACACATTGTTCATCGGTGTAGATGAACATATCCTTCCAAAATAATGAACTATGCACTTCAATTTATGTTCAAGTTTCTCATCATAAGTATCATATAGATTCCTGCAAAATGACACAAATTAAATCATCTTCGAGACAATATCAAGACATCAACTTACCATAAAGATCATAATTCTCAAATTACTATATAACGAGTTAACGACACTTATTCTGGGAACTGAATGCATATTCTGTCCCTCAACAGCTGAACTATATAAGAATAATTATATAAGGATACTTTTTCCAAGGTTACTAATACCCAAACAAATTACATAATAAAAGTTAATAAAAGCATCCAGTAAAACAACAAGTGTAGATACGCCAGCAAATTATGCATCTCAATGAATTCTGGATGAACTAAAACATAAAATGTTTGTCTTAACACAAAAAAGGACGAAAATAAAATCCAAAAAATGTGACTTCAATGCCATAAAGCATATTGCCCTCTAAACTAATGAAAGTAACCATGAAGATTTATGGAACCCTAGAAAAGGTGGAGCAATATTTAGGCAGTCATTATCGCTAAAGCAAAAAATAACAATAGGTAGATGATGAAACATACGCAAACAAGTGATCAAAGTTGATCCTGGGAAGATGTTTGGCACCTCTATATCTTGTTGGAAACAAACAAAAGAAGGAACAAGCAATGAGAGCACCCACCAGTTCCTGAAAAACATCATACATAGAAAAAACTGAAATTCAATATCCATCTCCATCTGCGGCATGAATACAACAACATTCAACAGAAAAATCCAAGCCTTTGATTAGAAAACAGAGCTAAAAAAGATGAACAAAATTTTCGGGCCTTTTGCTTAGAAAACTTTTATGAGATCTATTAATGAGTTCTAGATAATAATTAAGTTTCTTTTGGTAATATCTTCAGGAAATGAAACTGCTGGCAGAAGTAGATCAGCCCGGGAGTCACATAGACAATTATGTATCCTAATTAAACTTTGTGCTGTCCCGCAAAGCGGCAAGTTTGGTCAGACTCCATGCACGTCTTGCAAGGTTCTAGCACTGCCTAAAAGAGCAGGAAATTCTGAGTAGAAAGAGGCCCCTTACTAGTAACCATTGAATTGCTCTTTTTGTCATATTATATTACATATATATATAATATGTGAAGGTGTACTGGAATTTCGTCTCTAGTTTATGTTTTATGTGTACACAAACAGATCATCTGGAGGTATTCCAGTGTACAATCATAAGAAAGGGAAATGGTACGCAGTTTTTGCTGAACACTATCTGCTTTGATGCTTTCCAGCTTTGAACTGAACAGCCACCAAGGATTGTTCATATGGTCTGGCAATATGCCAATATCATTGTACCCTTTTCGAAATCATAAGAACTAATGATTTGATTGTTTGGTAAGGACACCCAGGTAATTTCCTGATATATGGATTAAACTGAAGGAATTCACCAATATTCTGTCCATAAAAACCTGACATTTTTTTTTTATATATATATGAACAAGTCTAATGCTTTTCCTACTCATAACACATTAATCAATGTGGCAGGTGGATCTGGTCCTAGAACCGGGATCAAATCGGTAAAGGATGTGTTGACAACTATATATTAGTTCCATCTGTGTGTCCTTTATTTCTTTATCCCAAACTCTGTGAGATGGAATGAGTTATTTTAGTATTAACTGTTTGATCATTATTTTTCGCTCAGTCACTCAACTATCAATTAGGTATTGATTTTTATTCCATCTGCATAAAAATTAATATCCCAAACTCGATCCGCCATGAATCCTGAAAAACAAATTGAACTTTTGGCAATCTATATATATATACCTGACTAAGAAGCACAACTCCAGGCTCTTGTGATTCCAGTAAACGCAGCCCGGTATGGACTCCCCTGACAACCCCTCCGTCAGCTTTCTCATAGTGGTCCTCCAACAACGAAGGAAATCTCAAAAGCAAACTAGCCAACCCCGGCACTACATCTTCGAACCATTTCGACGCTTCGTCGCGAGAAATCAACTGTTCAACAACCCAATCGTGGGTACTTTTCATGGAATTAACACGGGACTTGCGTTGAAAATAGATGAATGAAACAATTGATTAGCTTACGTCGTCGAAGAAGATGGAGTAGCCGTCGGCAGTGGATTCTGCAAGGGAGGACTCTGAAAGGCAGAGGGAGCTGCGGATGTCGGAGATTGCAATGAATAGAACTTCTCCGGTGTCAACGTTGCTGTGACGCGGGCCCCGCGAGAGCTCCTTGAGGGCCTCGACGACGGGAGGTGGCCAGAAGAGTGATGACGATCGGAGAAGCAGCGGCAAGTATGGGAGGATGGACTTCAGGTCATCCCTGCTCTCCATTCAACTTCTTTCAAGTGAGAAAGCAAGTCAGCGAGTGTGTTTGATCACAAACGTTGCTCCAAATCTTCCATGCTGGATATAACGGAATACTTGGTCCTATTCTTACGTAGTACGGAGTATTACTTATCCTTCTTCTTATTTATTCAGATCAGATTAGATTAGAAAAATTCAGATCAGATAAAAAACATTTAGGTCAGATCAGAAAGATTTAGATCAGATCAGACCAGATCAGTAACATTTAGATCAAATCAGATTAGAAACATTCAGATCAGATTAGATCAGAAAGATTCAGATCAGATTAGAAACATTCAGATCAGATCAGAAAAATTCAAACATGATTTATCACTTTTATAATAATAATAATAATAATGAAAATAATAATAATAACAATAATAATAATATGATTATTACTTTGATTATTTATTTATTATAATTATAATTTCCATTATAATAATAATTATTATTGTTATTATTATATAATAATAATAACTATTATTATTATTAATATTAATATTTCTATTATATTTCATTATTATTATTATATGAAGTAATAATAATTATAATTATAAATATAATTAGGGAAATAAATTTTATTATTACAATTACAATTATAATTATAGAAATAATTATAATAAAAAATATGATTACAATTAGTAATATAGCTATACTTATAATTAGTGATTATAAATATAATAATTACAATTATTATTATTACAATTATAATAATTTCAATTTCAATTACAATTATTATTAAAATTATAAATATAATTTTTTATTATATTAATTTTAATAATAATATAATTATAAAATATTATGATTATAATTTTAATAATAATTGTATGATGATAAATATAATTTTAATAATAATTTTAATTTCAATTACAATTATTATTACAATTGTGAATATAATTTTTTATAGTTAGGATTATAATTATAATTATAATAATTATATTTATAATAATTATAATCATAATTATAATTATAGAAATATTCAAATCAGATCAGATCAGAAAGATTCAGATCAGATCAGAAAGATTCATATCAGATCAGACCAGATCAGATCAGAACTTGAAAAATTCAGATCAGAAACATTTAGATCAGGTGAAGAGAATAGCTTCTAAGTTGTACACACTACACAGTAGACTTGAGAATTTGAATTTAGTGTTAACTCCCTAGGAATTTGAATTTATACATAAAAAAATGCATGATAATAGGAGCATCTGGGAATCCTAGGATGCAAATAATGTGCAAGTGTGCATGTTGCAAGCATGGAATGAGGGAGAAGACACAAAAACATTCACATTTCTTTCTTTTCTTTCCACGATTTTGTATAATTTTGATATCTTTTTCACAATAATGTCAACCAACAACGTCTACATATGAACATCTGACTTAAAATTGTGAAGAAAAACTTATCAAAAATGAATATGACCTCTCAAATAAGGAGATAGATATATTATTCATTAATATTTATATGAATGCCACATGTGCACTGAACACATTTAAATATTGGAGGTGCACTTAATAGTCGTCGATAAAAGGTTAGTCCAACTCAGAATCAAGCTCACCCCTTTATATCAAACTCTAGGGCATCATTTGAGCGTCAATTTCATCTAGAAAAAATGTTTGTTCAGAGTATACCTAAACTTTAGCTTTCCTCCGAGGGACAACTTCTAAATGTTTGTTCGTATTAGGTATACCTAATACGATGTACCCCTTTATATAATGAGTTCTTCGCATAAGGAGTATGTTACTATGAGGGTTTATTCTTGTTATCAACAAAGTTGTTTAATTATTGTGATACTTAATGAAGTATTAAATGATGAAGTTTTTTATGTTTATCATGATCATTATCATCATGAGCATAAGAAGTTGGATATGTTGTCTCCATAGTTATCTCCGCAACAAAGAGGTGTGCAAACACATAAACAGTCTATTTTAGCTAGAATTTCGTTGATCACGAATAGGTTGGTCATATATAATAAAAGAGGAAAATCACAAAGAAGAAGCATGATTCAAAATTTCAAATTTCATCTTAAAGCATTTGGAGAAAACTTTTCAAGTTCAATATTTGTAAGAGAATAAACAGCAATGGAAATGACAAAATGAATCAAACAAAAGATTCATACTCTGAGTTTCATACACAATTAAAACACCAAACAAACTCAATGATCCTTACAAATTAATATACATTACAAAACCCTTATAATCCCACAAAAATCTAAGCAAGAAAGCAGTAGAATACTAGAATGTTCCAAAACTTAAGATATTTGAACATATACAATACACAAAAGGTATCATAGTGTTAGAAGAAGCTTACAATAACTACACTAATATTCGGTAAGTTTTTCCATAAATTGAATCTTTAACAACAATTGATACATAAATAAAGCCATTACATTAATTATTCTTTTCCATATATCACATGCTCCTTTTTCAACTTTGCTAGTAACACTTTGTTGTTAGTTTTAGCCCAAAATAAAGGACCAACTATAGGTGTCCATATTTTAAAAGATGAGTTGAATGAATGAGTGAAAAAATAATACTCTTACGCGAGTTGTTCTTGAATTGGATATCACATGAGTAGGAGAAGACTCGAGTTTTTTATGTAAATATTACCGATAATGTTTGGGTTTATAAAAAAGTGACTACAACTACCAACCACGTACAACAGCCTTGGAGTAATTGTAGGAAAATCACATTGCCATTTTGTTCAATAGTCATATTTTTGTTAGCAAGATTTAAAGTAATAATATTTGTGTAATTTTTTCTTATTATAATTATAAACTTTTTAATAATTATGATTATAATTATAATTACATTCAAATTATATTTATAAGCGATATACGTACTTTAACTTTAGTCATTCATATATAGAAATGAAGTTTTAAATTTAGACAAAACTATATATGATTGTATATATACCTAAATTTTATCATTAATTATATTTATGTCTTAATGAAGTTAAGTGATTAGTTATCATATAATGCGTATGATTAAATGTGAGAATTCTATCTTTCATGTTTTTTAATGTATATGTATATGTATTTTATACACAAAAAAATACAATATTACTTATCATATTTATGAAAAAATATAGATAAAAACGCAATTTCTATATCTCCGACTAGTCCCCGACTAGGCAACCTAGCATCCAACTAGCGTCTAGCGCCTTTTAGAACATTGATTCAGATCAGATCAGACAATATTAAAAAAAAATTATATCAGATCATAAAGATTCACATACCGAGTATAAAAAAAATCATATCAAATCACAACTTTTTTTTTTAGCAATATCAAATCACAACTTAAAAAATTCATATTAAAAACATTTCTATTGGTCAAAGTGAGTAGTAGCTCCTAAATCGACTAAATTCATCTTAACCGATATGTATAACACCCGGTAAGAAAGTGAGATGATAAATAATCGCCATCGTTGACTCGGCGGAAATTTACAAAGTGAGAGCTATAAGCCTATAACCATGGCGGCTGCTGCTGCATTTGCTGATTGCCGTTTTCCTGTATGCCGTGCTTTCGCCGAGAAATCTCGGCTTTTCTCTTTCTCACGTAGCACAATCACGTGCTCACCTCATCAGACAAGTAAAGTACCTGCTGCTTCTGTATCGTTCGCCCAACTTCGAGGTCTGTATTATCCGTTCAGCATTGCCTCAAATTTTCCTTTTTCAAGATTACTTTTATCACGATTCGAATTTAGTGGGGTAATATGCCAAATTCATTCAGGACTTGGTTTCGCTGTCGAGAGGAATCCAAACAGGTCAGGTTTTAAGCGGAACTCGGCCGTCCGTCAGTTGACTGGTTCTCTCACCGTTGCAGAGGGCCTCCGATTTGCTATTGTCCGTAGTCTCTGAATTTCACTCGTTTGATTCCCTCTCTCTGTCACCGAGTGGTTTTATGATTTTCATCAATGGTTTTTAAGTATCCATGGAAAATGGGTATGAAATGAAAGAAACCCGTTTAAACCACATAATCTTAATTGTAAGTTTTTCTCCCACAAAGGATTGAAAATTGCATTGGTAAGGGTCAGTTTCATATTTCCAGCCATTAAAATGTAGATTCTTTACAATGCAAAATGGATGGTGTATACCTAAACTTTAGCTTTCTCCTAATGCGAAGAACTCATTATATCCTTCTATTGTTAATCAAGGAGTATTGTTAAGGTGAGTGATGGGGCTCATTTAGCTTCTCTTTTGACATGTATGTGTTGGAACCTTACCAAATGAAGGTGGTGGCTCGTTTCAACGAAATTATAACGAGGCCACTTTTGGAGGGGGCTTTGGAAACTTTCAAGAAATACTCTGTCAGAGAAGAAGATGTTGATGTATGTACTTGTTCCTGTTATCCTCATATCATGGAATTTAATAAGCATTATTGAACTGCTTGAGTATCAAATAATTAGGCTGTTAATTTGAATTTTGTATTGCCTAATGCTGTGCCTCAAATTGAGTGAATTCGAATTATATGCAACTTCATTCCCCATGCGGCTAGACATTATTTTATCCATAATCTGTTTTCACTATCAAAACATTTCATTTGATCTCAATGTCTTGACAACTCTTTGGATCATGTGATGTGATTGCTTAGAAGAAAGAAATATTTATACATGTGGCAATTGATGTGTTGATGCAGGTTGTATGGGTTCCAGGTAGTTTTGAAATAGGTGTGGTTGCAGAGAAGCTGGGAAAGTCAAGAAAGTATCACGCAATCTTGTGCATAGGTGCTGTGGTAAGCAGCTCTCCTTCATCACGATTGTTTTTTTTCTGTTTCAGAACATATTCCTCTGTAGCTAACAGTCATGTTGTGCCGCGGGATACTCTGGATTCCATGGGATGGGCCAAAAAAATAAGCCATTCATTTAATTTTTGACCAAGAAATTTACACATCAAAAGGCAGGTTTTCACCAAGCCCCCAACTCAGGGTGGGTCTGTGCCCTGGTGCCTGAGTTAGCCACCATAGCTACACCCCTGATGTTGTGTGCTCCTTATTTGTTTGTTACTTATGTGCTCCTTTCGCATGTTTGAATCTTCTGGTTTGCAGGTTAGAGGTGATACTACTCATTATGATGCCGTTTCTAATTCAGCAGCATCGGGAGTACTTTCAGCAGGTCTCAGTTCAGGTGGGTATGCATGCAATGTTTTGGATCTTTTTGCTATTGATTCTTGAATATTGCCTGAATTTTGTTAAAGTGTGGTGTGCTTTTGCATCTGTTTGAGATTTGAAAACATGTCTTTTAATCTTTAATCAATCTGCTTTGTGTGTTCCTCTCCTTCATCCATTAAACTCTCAAAATTGAAAGATATGTGTAGTATACGATGACTCTACACATATTTGATTTTTGTGCTCTGATTTTCCATGCAAATATTATTTGTTTAATTTGTCCATGCAATGAGTTGAAAGATTGTGCCCTTGATTAATATATTAGTCATGAAATGTACTAATGTAATCATAATAATTTTATAATAATATGCAGGTGTTCCTTGCATATTTGGTGTCTTGACATGTGAAAATATGGAACAGGTAAATGCATTGATTGAGTTTTATTTTGTATCACGACATGTATATAACTAGCATACCTAGATCATACTTTATGAGCACCCCACACAGCCTACCCTTGTTTGTTATTGAGTGCAGGCGTTGAATCGTGCTGGAGGCAAGTCTGGCAATAAAGGCGCTGAAGCAGCGTTGACAGCGGTGAGTTTGTTTGTTTGTTTGTTTTTTCTTTCAATTTTTTTATATAGAAAAGTAGCAAAACTGCTTTCAAAATAGTTTTTCCCCTGTATTTCTCAGGTTTTACTATTCACTTCTCAGAAAGTCATCTAAAATTGGGTTGGTGTTCTAATTGTTTCAGATTGAGATGGCATCTCTGTTTGAGCATCACCTCAACAATTTACAATAGGAGTTCTCTCTCAAATGAGGGGTGTTCGGCAGCATACCATGACTTATGCAGTGACAACATTTCCACCTTTACATTTGATAGCTACTTCAAAAATGTAATTTATGTTGTACCAACTGCCAAGTCAAATCTCGATTTCATGGAATAATGGAAGGGCATTGTTATGAGGATGTGGTAACCCCTTATTAGCTTACCAACCATTTTTTACAAAACACAACTTTTGATATTGTGCAATAAATTGTATAATAATACAAATAAGTTACAATACAGTTGTTTTTCTGATTGGTGCATTACAGGTTTCCTTTTGTAGGGTTGGATTCAGTGGAATTTATTTATTCATTGTTAAACCAAACAGTGCTCAAACAAAGGCTTAAACAATCACTTTATAGTTTATACATACCTGTGCCATTTTCTGGAATTTGAAGTCACATCGACAGGAAACTAACCATTACAAAAGCAAGAAACAAAAAACGTGACATGAAAATATCATCCTTTTCCACAATAAAAAGGTGGCATTGTCATTCACTCCTTCGAGCAACCAAACAAAAGCCATGACACACTACACATGCACTACGCGTGTTGTATCAAAAGTATTTGCGCACTCTATTTTCCCTTGAAAGTGGTTCACGAGAAACAACAAAAGTACGAAACATTAACTAATGGAAAACAGCTAGTCTGAGATTTTTCAATGTTTCTTGGAATTTTTTATAACAGCTTCCTTGCATGATGCAATGATGCATCACAACCAGAAACAAATTCAAAGCCCTTGAAGTGCAATACAAATAAAGAACCAAGGATAATGACATTTTATTTACTTCATACAAAAAGAGAAGCTTGTTTGGTATTGAAACTTATCAAGTGACTTACAGTCACTGAAGCTGCAGATAAAAGTATCCCTATACACAAAAGAAGTGCGGAATGAAAGCTCACACAAGTCTAATCAACTAAGGGAAGGATGGATGGCTGCAAAGCAAATAATACATGCACAACAATCTTTCATGAGTAGTGTGTGGCAGACAAAGAAATGCACCTGAGAAGGCATGCATTCTCATCTGGTTACACATAATAAATCATCCCAACTTCAATTTGACTAATGTGCGGAATATTAAGTGCCACTGACGGCCCCCTGCAATTCTTTCTCAGAAATGAATACGCAATATCAATCACATACTTCTTCAAAAACGGTGATGACCTCCTCGCTTTCACGTAAGAGTGTCCCAATATGTACGCCACCCCTGCTTCCTTTGCCCTAATCAACTCCCTAAGCTCCTCTTTAACTGCCACATCCATTGTGGGCCCCTCAACCAACTCAAACCTCACCCGCCGTCTTCTAACTAGCAAGTTCTCGTCATCATAAGCAGACCTCAGGCTCTGAAGGGTTGCTGATTTGCTGCTGCTGCTGCATTGCAAATTTTCTTTGTCATCACGTACAACCATCAAAGCAGAGCCGCCAGACTGAGTGCTGCTTATAACTGCCATCCTCCCATCAAAAGAAGAACTCTCAGAGTTTGATACCTGAGGTTCGATGGACTCCATCTGAATGAAAGCTGCTATGCTGTGTATAAGCTGATTCTCAAAGTCTCCATCGTTTCTCTGTGTGTCCTTGTACCCGTACCTAATGATGCACCGGTACATACGGTATGGTCTCGGGCAGACCCGTCCAATAAGGAACCGTTCCTCAGGTGAAACGTAAGGGACGGGGACATACTTTACACACACAAAAACGAGTACACTGTGAAAGGCAGGAAGGTTAGTCACGAAGTGGGAGAATATGGAGGGGACTCCTGTTGCTAGTTCTGAGTAAACAAGGCCGATCCCTGGGACACGGACGATGCCAAGTGTGGGTCCTAGGCCGAGTAGCCATTTCAGTGGGACTTTGTTGTGGAGATCGAATGTGTACTTCTTGCGGGTCCCATAGTGCCAGACGAACATGACGAAAAGGAACACTAGGGAGAGGACAAGAGATACCCACCCACCCTGAGGGATTTTAATGACTGATGCTGAAAGGTAGATGAGTTCAATGAAACAAAAGAAGAAGAGGAAGGCAGCGGCATATATGGGGTTTCTTCCCCAGACAAACACGATGATGAGTGACATCAGAAACGTCGTGATGAACATAACTGTCATGCATGCTAGTCCTGAATAAAAATTAAACATATCCCATGATATCAGCACTAAAATTTGAATGACAAATAACAGAAAAGCTAGCTAAACTAAAACTATGACTGCACCGCATGGTTGTATACTTGCTGTCATAACTTTTTCATGGGAACAAGCCGTGACAGTACACATGGTTAATGAAATTACTCTGTTCTACTTTCAGTAAAAAACATATTTAAGTGGCCCTTGCAAACTAATATAGGTGTAAAGTGTTGTCCACTCGACTTCTGAGAAACTTCTGGAAGATCTTTGAAAATATATTTGTTGCCAACAATGGAAGAAGGAAAAGACAAAAAAACCTTGGAATTATATAATGGCACACCCTTTTTTTATTGACATATTTTCTAAAATAAATTATTGAGTGAAAGTGGCCATATAAATTTAGTAGAGGTGAATTCAGGAAATATTGATTGGTAGCCCTGCAAAAGGGCATGAAGAATAGCAGTGTGTTGAATACTTGAATGAAATGAAAGTCACGTACCATATGCATTTCCAATTAAAGTTACATCCTGGAAACCAATGGCCACTAACAGAGTGAGAATCATTAATATCCAATTCATTTCAGGTATATAAATCTGGCCGTAGATATGCTTTGACGTGTGAACAATCTTGACTCTTGGGAAGCATCCAAGTGCATTACATTGCTTGATGATAGAGAACGTAGCAGTGATAATTGACTGACTGGCAACAATAGCTGCAAGGGTGGCAATAACAAAAACTGGCCAGTGTGCACCATCTGCAAGGGTAACGAAGAGAGCAAGTGGTAAGAAGCGAACTAGATTACACTAGGACTATGATAGAGTTGCATTGAATCTCAAGTAAAATACTAACCAGGAACTGAATCGTAAAAACTATTTGGTACTGAAGCAATGTTTTTCGACAGAAAAGCAGCCTGCCCCATGTATTGTACCACTAAACAAGGATACACGCCAAGTACAAATGCAAACTGAATGAAACGAAAGGAAAAAATAGATCAATCAGTAAAAGAGCGTTACTGGAACCCAAATCAATAAACTTGAATGCATGGGAAATTGGGTATCCAAACTAGGAAACTGATTGAAATGATAGTATATTGAGAAATAGCGAATTGAACGGCTTGGTAGGTGGCTGAAAGCCATCAGCCCATCACCCACCAGCAGGGGCGGAGCTAGGGGGTGGCCACCCCTGGCCCTGGCCCAGCCCAAATTTTAAAAATCTCTATATTTTTAGTGTAAAAAATTCCGTGTAAATTTTTTTTCAAAAATATTCTTTGTACCGGCCCAGTGTCCTGGCTCCGCCCCTGCCCACCAGTACGTCAAAATTCACATGAGTTGACATCTAATGGTCCAAAAGACTTTGAGTATCATTAGATAGGATGGATTGACAACTTAACTATCTTGATAGGATCTATTACAAGAGCCTCAGAAGTACTATCTAAGTCCGAAAATAAAGAACTCATGTCTGCAATATTGATTTCGATGTTACAGAAATGACTCTATTTTTGGAGGAAAACATTTCAATTCATAGGCAATGAATCTTCACCAGATTTGTGTCTCACCGCTTTCTATCATACATTAGTTATTGGACTTGATGCTTCAACTAACAACACTTCATGCTACACAAGAAACTCTTTATATTTAGAAAACATTAAAATTTAAATATTACAGAGTAATATTTTGTTTTCCTACCAAACTTTTTATTTTCACCCTTTCTCAAATAAACAATAAAAATGTGTTTTCCCTGAAAGCAATTTCTAAGTAACTTTCTCTCTTGGATTTCAACATGAGCAGAAGAATCAGAACATTAATACCACTTTGGTGCCCAACAATCTTAAACCCCAACTCTAAAAAATTATCATGAGAGGCATTATATGCTAGGTCCATTGCAGCATATAGAAGAATAGTTTTCCCACAAGATGCGACTCATACTTTCATAGTGATGGAAAAACGTACTTGTACTTACCCTCATTGAGAAAGAATTGAAATGGCCAAGATTTGCAAACATAGCTTCAGTACCTGATCCAAACAAAAGAAAAACAGTATAAAATGAAGTAATATTAAAGCTCAAGGTATCCCTAACCTGAATAGCTTCTCTTGTATAGTTGTACTGTACCTGTTACAGATAGGAGCACTCCTCCAAGAGAAATCCATCCATCTTTTCCGGTATGCCGAAAAAACTTGATGATATAATACGGAGAAAGAGCAGAGACAATTTTTGGATTCCAGACTATTGTATTGTACAACCCAAGGGAAAAAATTGAAATCAACCAGATTGTTACTATTGGTGCAAACAAGAAAGCTACTCTGTGGGTACCAACATGCTGAAGAGCAAATAGACCAACCAATATAATGCAAGTAATGAGTAGGACAGCACCTATCAACAACAAATACTTTCAGTAATTAGCTGAGTATATGAAATGTATTGCAACGTATTTAACTGCTGACAACTTAGAGTCATCTAGCAAAAAAGTAACTTCAACCTACCATTAGGCAAGCTTTCAGCAGCATCTTGAATCCCACAAACTGATGATAAAACTGCCATAAAAAATGTACACTGCAATGAGTTTACTTGAGGTCAAGTGGAAAATTAAACAAATGATCACTTTCATGCATCCAGTTAGTTAGGCATCCATGCTAGCATCAAGTCCTCAACTATTTGGTTCTGTAAATGATGTTTTAGGGAAACCTTGATCTCATTATGACACTAAAACAGGTAAACACATTATAAATAGATTAAAAATGCCCAATATCACTCACCGTCTATAGAAATTTGAAATTCATAAATAGATTTGATAGTTGCACAAGAAATATGGCTACCTGATATTGCAGGAGTGAGCACACCGTCACCAATGACCATGCTAGCCCCTAGCAATACAACAAGGAATAAAACCGTCCGTGCCTTTTTATGCCTCTCTATAAACCGCTTCAATGGTAAAGATAAGGCAGAAAGCCTAGTGGATCCATATTTGTAAGTAGATAGCTCCTCATCAGCAGCTTGTTGATTGGGAAGTAGATTAAGCTTTGCATGTCTACAGAGCAGAGAGTATAGAGCAAAGCTCCCACCTAGCAAAATAATAATAAATACATGCAGCAAAACACAAATTAGGTGGATAATACTCATAATAGTTCCAAAATCAGTGAGCAATTGAGCAACTGTTGTGAGTATGTCTGGTTCTATTCTTGCGGGTTTGGGGTATTATTCATTAGTATCATCATCATCATTAGTTGACTATTCATTATTATTAATTTTAGTATTTAGTAATGTTAGTATCATTGTACTATTATTATTAGTTACAGTTTTGAATTGGTATTAAGGTCCTGTTTTAGTGTAGGCCCTAATGGCTAACGGAATGTATTAGGACTAATAAATGCTGACTAAGACTCTTGGGAATAGCATACCTTCACCATTGTCATCTGCACTAAGCACGATGACTACATATTTGAGCAAAGGCATCAGTGTAAGTGTCCAAAAGATCAATGAGAAGGCGCCAAATATTGCATCTGGAGTTTGATGCTTCCGCAACTTGTCCACAAATATACTTTGATAGACATAAAGAGGTGACGTGCTCAAATCCCCATATACCACCCCAAGACTCTGGTACGCCAACAGCAGATCTCGGGATATGTTTACCAAACTAACCTTCACGTGCATCCATATATATTTATATTTATGACATTGATGTTATAGTTATAACCCCCACAAGGATATTATTACACTCACACGCACACATATACATACATGAATATACATACATATCATATATTTATGAATCATGTATGAGTATAGAACATGATAAAGGATACTTAAAGCTACTCAACCACTCTAGAAGGTATGTCACCAAGTTCAGCCAAATGGATGTGAGTAGGCAGATTACCCATATCAATCCAATAGCTGTTCACTTACAGGAGAAACTCAGTTGAAGAATTCAAGTATGAAGTATATGTTTATTATGAAATAAATCTTGTGTTTCATTACAACATTATAGACAGTTAGAAACAACTACCCTGAATTTGAGAAACTAATTTTGACTCTATACTCTATAGGCATTGAAAACATACTTGTCATGGCGTCATCTAGGCAGCGACCAGGCATCCACGGAGTAGGAGGCAATCGCCAAGGCTGGCCGCCTCACATAAAGTGCACCGAACATTGAGTGACATCTCTTAGGCATTAACTAGGCATTCATAAGGAAGCCTGTGGTTGAATTCTTACCCAAGTTTGCATTTTCTTTCTTACTTTTCTTCTATCTTTCTTCATTGTTCTTCATTTTTGTTTCTTTATTTATCTTTGCAGTTACTCTTTTCCCTTAATGATTTTTTTCCCCCATTTCCATAAAAATCAGCCACATAAATCACATTACTCCATTTTGCTAAATTTTTGTAGTTTCATTGAAAGTAAATATACATCGGACTCCCATTTTAAATTAATATGATGAAGTACTAATTGACGTATTATGTTTTATATTATATTTACTTGTCGCCTAAGTATCACCTAAGCGGTCACCTAGTCATCCAGGCGATGAGGCAGTTCACCGGCGTCGCGCCTCGCAAAGCCGCCGTGACAACCTTGAATATGAAAACATCACAAATCATCTACCCATTACTAAGTTCACAGCTGTACAATTTCCATATCCAGATTCCATCACTCTACCTGCTGAAAATTATGTACTCTCCATGTTTACTTTCTAAGTTTTAAATGTCTGTCTGAGCAGAAACATGTACGAATGCAGCCTTGCAAGTGAAAAGCAGTGAGTTGGGTTTAATCAGTATTCACACTATTCAGTACATATACGAATTTACTTAGCAAATTACCATTTAGAAACAAGTGTGTGATGATACTTCTTGTGCGATAAAAGACATGTCTTTTCTTGATAAATTACCGTTCTGAAAGATGATTGCAACAATGTGAACAACTCTCAACGATGCCAAATTATATTGAATACACATGACCAGAAGAATACATGTATTGTGTAGAATGTTAATACATCCGTCCATCAACCACAACAACATGCAACCCTAACAGCAAAGTTCACAACTTTGGCTGCAAAGACGCCTTAAGATTAATTACAGATTCTGCTATGTTAGATCATGGAACCCGAGTGGAATTTTGCAATGACTGCCTGACCTTAACAAAGTAACCCCGTAGGTCTTAGGTTGGAGCCCCACTGCAGTGTATCTTTATTTAAAATTAGATAAGAAAAAACATTCTGCAGTACTTACCTACGTGTAATGATCATTGGTTTTGCATTTAATATTTAGAACTATTAAGCACCGCCTATAGAAGCGAAACAACAAATCCAAAAGACTGAAATGCCTTGAACCTTTGACAGCAGCTAAGAATAAATACTCGCACAAAAGATAATACAGAAGATGAAAAAATATGTGCAAATGAAGTTGGTGGAATCTAAGAGGAAGAAATTTAGGCTAACTGATGTAACCAATAACCATACAATGAAAATCAGCCATTTTCCATCACATATTACTCATCAAAGAATAATGTCACTGTTCACATGCAACTTTTTTCACATTAACAAGAAAAAAGAAAATGCTAAGACAGCTAACAGAGCACACTGGCTAGACAGGCTACAAAAGCAGGAGCTTTAAAAAAAATCTACCTTTGAATCTAGTTGCTTCTTTGTAGCACCTTGGCCTTCTTGCCCCCCCACATTGGTTGAACCCTCACCCGCAGTTGTTGCAAGTAGAGGTGGGTGTTTTGTGTCACCTTCTTCACGTTTGATGTCAACTTGATACATATTTCTACCTGTGCCTTGGGCTTTCCAAGATTTAATTCAGACACAATAAGGATTTGACATAAACAAAAATATTGCTAAGGTTGGACCAAAACCTAGCAGCCAAAATTTGTGGCAGTTGGGCAAACTGGAAACATTCTAGGGATTCTGGACAGGGGTTGGCTCGTTCGTATTTGAGGCAGCTAGCGATGAACAGAGGGATCTGGACACAGTCTTTGCGCGCTCATATATGGGGACTAGGGGCGCAGAGATGATCAGCGTATAGGGAATCCTTCAACCCTCCTGTTTTAGAAATAATTGAAAGTAAATAACGAACTGCTGCCATAATTGAAAGTAGGGGAAAAATTTAAGAACCCAAACTTTTTTTTGAGAGAGAAAGAACCCAAACTTTGATAAGAGGTGAGATAATTTTATACTCCCTCCCATTGAGGGCCTGTTTGGATGGAGTGTTTGGAAGTGTTACTAAGTGTTAGTAAGGGTAAATTTTTGATGGGGAAGCCTGAAACAGAAAGTGGAAAACCATTTTGGGACAACCAAAATAGGAAATTTTGCAAAACAAATTGGGACAGAGGGAGTATAACTTTTTACATATAAGTTTTAATCATAAATTTGTAACACGCACACACACAAGTATATATATATAGAGAGAGAGGGGGGAAAGATCAAGTACAAACTGTGCTTATTGTGCAAATATTTGTACGATGCACCTTGACGTTCTTTGTATTGCATATTGAGGTTTAAAGTGGTGCATATTATTCAGCCATAAAATAGCAGTTGCACATTAACGTTCAACGAGTTGTACCCTAAAAAAGTTGGGTTTTATTACAAAAATGTCACCTTGCCTTTATGTTTAGATCAACTCATCGGACGGTTAAGATGAGTTTGTAGTTTGTAAATTAAGAAGGGTTTGTATTTGATCTCTATTATATATATATATATATATATATATATATATATATATATATATATTCAAAATTTTATATAAAAAATTACTTTTTGCATCATGATTATATATTTAATACTACATCCATCCCCTAAGTTTGGGACAAAGAGGTGTGGTGTGGTTTTTTAGAAAAAATAGAATTTTGTGGTTGGTATTGAATCGATGAAGTGTGAATAAAGTATGAATTAATTGTAGCCACTCAAATATTACCAAATATTGTATGAGACACACTTAATAGGATGAACGAAAAAAATAAAACGGGATAATGTTAGTGGGACGGAGGGAGTAACAAATATCATTTTTTTGGAATAATTGCATAATCTAAAGTACTCTAAGCATGTTACAATGTAGTTATCATTTTAAATTTTCATTTTTGAAATAAATAAGATTTCATCCGGCACAATTTAACTTTAATTGCACTCTTATAAACATTTTGTGTAGTTTAAATAATGTACTTAGCATTATAGAGTTACATTTGTGAAAACATATATGATCATGACGCTAACATAATTTTTTATATAAAATTTGGAATTTATATATTGCATGTGCAAGTTTAGAGTGCTTATCTCATACCTATTCAAAATTTGGGATATTTAAATGTTTTCCCTTGAAAGTAAGTACTCATATTTATGAAGAAATTGATATAAATCAGAAAGGGAATAGTAAATAGCCATGTAGCACGGAGACTTGACTAGTGTACCGTATCAACGTTTTGAAAAAACATCATGTATCAGATACTCTATGATATATGACTACATGTACCATATTTACCTAAGTTGAATCTGCAGTTTATTAAAATTTCCAACTTTTGTGATAGTTATTTTAAAATTTTTGATACACTGATAAGTCCATTTTTTGTACTTATTTTTCTTATCAAATTTAAGCAATTTTTGAATGAAAATAGAAAGAAAAGACACATTTTATATATTTTGGTTCAAGTTTCATGAAATCAGGTAAAAATCACATCCATAATATGTTTAGCGGGATTTCGGGTCAATTGAGCACAAAATGTGCCAATATGGGCAACAAATGATATCATACCGAAAGAAGGAAACATTATTTCAAAGTGGTCCAGAAGACAATATTGAAGAGCACAAAACAAGGAACAAGCCGGACAAATAATCTCACAGGCGGTCGAACAGGCGGCCAAAATGGTGGCCTTCGCGGCCGCCTACGGTATTTTTGGAAAGTCAACCTTTGACTTTGACCGAATTTGGAAAAGACCGTAGGCCGCCGACACTGGACAGAAGGCGGCCGCCTACGGTGGCCGCCTGCGGCACAAGGGGACGAAACCAACCACCGGTCGGCCAGACAGGACGGCAGGCGGCCAGACAGGACGGCAGGCGGCCGCCTGCTGGACCGCCTGCGGCGGCCAGGATCCGCCGGGATCCGATCTGCCAACGAAAAGACGGCAGGCGGCCATTTGTGACAGAAGGCGGCCGCCCTCTGTGGCCGCCTACGGCTGACGGAGACCGGCCACCGACGGTCTGCCGGCGACATGACGGCAGGCGGCCAGAGGCTGCCAGAAGGCGGCCGCCTGCCCGGGCGCCTTCGGGATTTCTTCTGCTATAAAAATCAGGCTTTTTCCTCAACTAAAACACACCTCTTCCAACCCTAAATCAGTTCAAAACACCTTCTTTCTTCCTCCATTTTCGAGCTCCAAAGGGTTTAGAGAGAGAGAAACTTCAATCCTTCATATCTTCTTCATTTTAGCTCCAAATTGTAAGTTCTTTATATGTATTTTCATCTTCTCAATGTGTAGAATCTGAATCTGTGCTTTGTTTCTTCGATCTGTTCTTCGAAAATTCCCAGAATATTTTTCAAGTATTTCGCATTTCCTTCCAAAAATAAAATAAAATAGTTATTGTTGTTGAATTCATTCCAATTAATTATATAGTTGTTCACTAGCCTCAAGGTAGTTAATTATCTGATTAAAGTTAATTTTCACGAACCAGAAGTAATTTTTAATTAATTTTGGTAATTATTTGATATTAGTTCATAATTTAGATTAACTACTAGAAAAAAAAGAAAAAAATGAGTTCGGCCCTATTTACAGTTTAGTTAACTTAAATATCATTACTAGTAGTTAATATAAAATTTGGTACGAATTTAGAGTATTTTTTTTATTAATTTCGATAATTACTTTATATTATTGCTTAAATCAAAATAAATACAAAAAAAGAAGAAAAAAATATATTTCGGACCTGATTACAGTTTATTCACAGTAATATCACTCCCAGTAGCTAAAAATAAAATTTATAACGAAGTTAGCATATTTTTAGTTGCTTTTTGCATTTTCTAGTTAAAATTGGGAAAGTTATCAATTAGTTGTTAAAATTGGATTTTAGGTTCAAAAATTCGTAAAAAATTCCAGAAAGTTGTATTTTAGTTCCTACAAGTTTATTGTTCCAGAATATAATTTTTGTTTAATTTTTGCTATCATACATGTTTAATTCCTTGTTAATGCATGTTGAATTTAATCATTATATTGTTAATTGTAAAAATGATGATGAGTAGCTAAATTTGTTAGGGCATGAATCGAGAAAATGAATATGGATTGACTTGTTGACCTAAACTTAGGGGTTAAAATTAATAAATTGGACTAGTTGTTTAAAATGATGAAATAGTAATTAATAATAGTTAGCCATTTTCATTAATTAAATTCTTGGAAAATTAATTCTAACTTGTCTATGAGATTAGAAATTAATTTAAGCCAACCATATTTGAGCACATTAATAAGGCCTAGAAATAGGATAATTTAATGAAAAGGATTTACATCTTGTCTATGAGAAATAAATTCAATTGCTAAAATAAAGAGTTTAACTAGTTAATGAATTTGGCTATTTTTATTAACTAAAATATTGGAAAATTATTTCTACCTTGTCTATGGGTTTAGAAAATAATTTAAGCCAACCATTTTAAACACATTAATGACACCTAGAAATAGGATAAATTAATGAAGATAGTTTCTATTCTTGTCTATGAGGAAAGAAATTATTAGTCCAACTTTAGTCTTAATTTCCCTAATTAAGAGGTCCAAGAACATATCCATTTCTAATTACTCAATTCATTGCCCTTATTTGCATCCTTGAATATTCAATCTTAATACATTAATCTTTAAATTGCCCTTGCTCCTAGTTATAAATTAGCATAATATTGAACAAAATCACTTCCTATATTGAAAAAGCTTCCAACGATTAGCGATAGCCCGTGACTAAAATTAAATTAAGAAACTTCTCCGCCATTCCTCAAGAGACACGACACTCGGGGAAAAACCGAAAGGTTAGACTCCGTTTTACTACAACGCCGCGAAAGCGGGTATCATACACATATCCTGACGGATACTATCTACTTTTTTAAATATAAAACACCTAAAAATAAATAATAATGACTTAAAATTATTTTTGAGAAATTTTAATTTTTATTAGAGTATTGTTTTCTATCCATGAACTTTGAGCGCTTTTGATTTCAAAATTGTGATTGTTTGACTTGTTTCTTATTTCAAATTAATTATTCACTTATTCTATATTTATATTTTGAAACGCGTGAGCATATATAAGATAATATGAATTATTGTCAACTATCATGATAATGTGAAATGTTTCAAAGCTATTGATGGCCAGGAGGGGACAATGATCATGTAAGGTAGACCTGCACTTTATAATTTTAGGTCTCTTCGTTTTAGGTGCTTATGCGTAAAAAATTTTGATTCATTTTGTGAGTATGTTATCCATTAAGTGTAAATTATGTCTACCAAACTTCAGCTTAAAGTTCATTCCGGAAGTCAATTAAATCAATTATTGAAAAAAAAATTGCATTACATTTATTTAACTGACTTTCCAGTTGAATTTTAAATCGAAATTTTGTGAACGTAATCTACACTTCATGTTGAACATGTTCATAAAATTTAATCACAAAATCCGATACGGAAGCACCTCAAAAAATTTGATTTAATTATTTTAAAACAAAATTTGAAAAAAGCTCAAGAAGTGTTTTGGAAATCACTCTAAATAAAATTAAAAACGTTTGTATATTTCAATACAGGACAATCACGTAAGAATAAAAAAAAAATACGGTCGTCTCGTAGGCACGTCCTAGGGTTTTTTCTGGCGGCGGCCTATCCAGGCCGTGGGTTCGGCCGATCTCTCCCCGCCTCCCCGGTAGGCAACTTATCTCATATATCTTCTCAGGGTATTGAGTTTTGTTGTCATCGCGGGGTTTGTTTGGTTCGTTTTTGTTTTATTTCTGACTTGCAATTGCGGTGAATCTGGATTCTGTCTGGACGAAGCTTTTGGTTTTTCTGTTTTACAGGAGCAGCGAACAAGCGAGGAAGCTTTCAAGAGGGTTCGAGGCTTCTGATTTTGGCAGGGGACGGGTTTAGCAAGAGGAAGATGGGGTGCTGCAGAATGTTGAAGATGAAGTCGAGCTGTTATTCTTCGGCAGTTTGGGAACGAGCTTTGACGAAACATATGACTTTTGGTGATAGCATGGAGTTTCTGGTGGTCGACAACGTGCTGTCGGACTGGAAAAACAAATTTCAGAGGTTCATTGGTGGCCTATGTGTGAAAGAAGACGAAGGGATGTTGATCCACCCAACTCCAGAACCGCCGCCTTGGAGGAATTATGCGACTAGGGTTTGGACGAGTATTTCTATTTCCGCCGAGTCGATTGTGTTTTGTTTTTATTTTATTTCGATCATGTTTTGTTGCTTATTTATTTTATGTTGTAAGACTTTTGCACTTGGATTTAAGGATGAGAGGCCTGCGGTAATCGTCGTGGTTTTGAATATGCCCAATTTAGGATTAACGAGTTATATTGTTTTGTCAAAGTTGATTAACTCAGAGTCTCGTCTACGGGCGGATGGTTACATGTGGTCCTTTTGTTATTTCAACTAGGGCTGGGCACGGGCCGGGTCGGGGCGGGTAATGCAAAATAAAATGGAACCGCCTGTTCTATTGTATGGTCCGGTCCGGGTATTGCAATTTTCAAAATAGGAACCGGACCTTACCCGGCCCGTTTGAAACGGGTCGGTCCGGTCCGGATTTTACGGTTTCTATTCCCATGTCTTAAAATTAGTAAAAACTCACAAAGTTCCAAAAATCAATAATTAATAATATAGTACATTATCAAGTTTCAAAATAACAACATAGTGATGCACATGTAACACAAGTGACAAGTCCAATACTCCATAATTTCATGTATATAAGTTCCAAACAATTAAAGTTCCAAAAATCGGCAACATAGTCAAAATGCATTCTCTAACATTTGAATTAAAAATGTTGTCTAACATCACATATTAAGGTGACACATACATGGGAGTGGTAATCACAATTTATATACTTTAAGAACAAATTTTCACTATTAGCCAAAGTTGACACATACATGGGGGTGGTAATTTAATCACAATTTATATATTTTAAGAACAATATTATAAAAACAAATATTACAAAATCTTTTTTAACAAATACGAGTAATTAAATTCCATAGAAAGGAATAATTCAATAACAATAAAAATAATAAGAAAATTTTGTAAAATTTAATCAATAATTTGAAAGCAAAATGATGTTACTGCAACTCAATTTAAAATCCTACTTCTAGCAAAGAGAAACAAAACTATTTCAAAACCGATTATCACAAAACTATTAATAAATTAATATACAATATATATAACGGGCCGGGCCGGGTACCCGGTATTTTTTTATTTTGGAACCGGCCCGGGTCCTTAAAAAAAATTACCCGGACCTACCCGGACCGTTTTATGGCAACAAAAAATGGAACCGGCCCGTTTTGGACCCGAACCGCCATTACCCGGACCGGACCGCGGTTCCAAGACCCGTTTGCCCACCCCTAATTTCAACCCCTCTCTGAGTGCTTTTTATGAATGAATGCCTCAAAAAAAGTACAAGACAATCACATTTTTATTCTCGCTCAAAATAAAACTAAATGCCGTCATGTTTTAATAGTACCAAATTTTAAACATTACCGTGTTTTTCAAACTTAAGAGTAATTTCTCCAATTTTATTAATAAAAATATGATAGAGTTAATTTGAAATTTTGAAACATTTTTACTTCTAATTCGAAAATTTTCCCCAAAATTTCCCCAACACGCAAAATTAACGAGTTGGGTCCGTGTGTGCCGATAAACTGGGCGGGCCCCGCTTGCTCATCATCTTCCCACATTTCCAGTATCCTTTACAGCATTTATTAAACCAACTAATTTATGTATTTTACCAGTGAACTTCGACCCCATACTCTCTCCGGCATCTCCTCACCATTTCCGACTGATCGTCGTCTGTCTCAGGTAAGCAAATTCCCATTACTTTTGCTTTTTTTTATATCTCTTTCTCTTTTAACCAATCATCCACAATTCATCATCGCATCAGTGTTCGATTTTCTGTTTTGCTCTTCGATTTGGATAATGGATGGTGATTGATCTGAATAGCGTTGACTTGATCTGTTGACGATTTTCATTGCATGAATTGTTATACCTTATAGTCTTTCCATTTATCCATCCTATCAAATCCCAAACCTGCCATTGACGATTGCCGGTAACACATTCACACATGCCAAATCAAAGATAGTATTGCTTCTTCAAGTTCTACCAATTCAATCTATTTAGTTACTTCTCCACTCCACCGAACATTTCCCTGTGCGCTCTCTCATCGCCCTCTCTCTGTTTAAGTATTTTCTCCTCTACGGCCGTTCCTTTAGAAGCCTACTAGTCGGTTCTTCAATGATTCCATGAATTTTCTGGAATCGGAGATTTCTTCAAGGATTTTCAGTCTGTACATTTCCACCGCAACTCCCTTTCTTCTCAAGTAGCCCTTTTTGACCTCTGTAACGCGGCTGTATTGGACAATCCTACACCCTTTTTGACCCCTTTACAGTTCAGAAATCTCCTACAAGTGCGTAACTCCTCTCAAAGACGATTTGGAATGGAAGCTTATCTATGTTGGATCAGCTGAGGATGAAGCTTATGACCAACTGCTTGAGAGTGTTCTTGTTGGGCCAGTTAATGTTGGGAATCACGGGTTTGTCTTGCAGGCGGAGCCTCCAGATCCCTCAAAGATCCTGGAAGAAGATATACATATACTTGGTGTGACTGTCCTTCTGTTGACCTGCTCTTACCTGAACCAGGAATTTATAAGAGTAGGGTACTACGTAAACAATGAGTACAATGATGAGAAGCTAAGAGAAGAACCGTCTCAGAATGTGTTAATTGACAGGATTCAGAGAAGCATACTATCAGACAAGCTTAAGGTTACCAAATTCCCCATTAACTTCCACCCTGAAAATAATAACAAAAGTAGTGACCAAGCCCCTCCTCCTCCGCCTAGTGATGGTCAGCTCACTGGAGCAGAAAAGGAATGATGGGCAGTGACATTAACCGTTTTTTTTTCACCTGACGTTTTGGTTCAAATGGTCTCTAATGAAGCTGTTCATCCATCATGAAAACTTGCTATTTCAGCTTCCTTTTGTCTCTAACACCAATCTAGTGTCGAGGTGATGGTGTGGTATGTTTTGACAAAACTTCATATTTTGCTGAACTAAATCTCTTTGTTTCACTGACAAGGTTGTTATATTTTGTTAATAAAAAAAAGATGCTTCAATCCTAGTTATTACTCCAGTCATTATTCTATTTATCTGATAATTACAATGATATACTTTGATCATCATCATTTCTAGTAAATTGCAGCAGCTAGGGGAAAAATACGTTTTCCAATGTTCGGGTCTCATTATTTATTATTTGTATTTCGTGCTCACTATTTCACTAATATCTTACTTTGAATGTGTAGTTAGGTGAGTATCCATCTGATCTGAAAAGGAAGAAGGTATGTCTTCGTCTGAAAATCCTGAGATAGTGGAAAGGGTTGTCAAGGACAAGGAAGACAAAGAGGAAGAAAAGGGCGGGTTCATTGACAAGGTGAAGGATTTCATCCATGATATAGGCGAGAAGATAGAGGAGACAATAGGGTTTGGAAAACCAACTGCAGATGTTGCAGGGATTCATATTCCTCATATCAATCTTGAAAAGGCAGAAATTGTTGTTGATGTGTTAGTGAAGAATCCAAATCCTGTCCCCATCCCTCTCGTTGACATAAACTACTTAATTGAGAGTGATGGAAGGAAGTTGATTTCTGGGCTTATCCCTGATGCTGGAACTATCCATGCGCATGGTTCAGAAACTATCAAGATACCCGTTAACCTGATTTATGATGACATTAAGAGTACATATAAGGATATACAACCTGGAAGCATAATCCCATACAGGATAAAGGTTGAACTCATAGTGGACGTCCCTGTATTCGGCAGGTTAACTATTCCTCTTGAGAAAACTGGTGAAATTCCCATCCCTTACAAGCCAGATATTGATCTTGAGAAGATTCAGTTCAAGAGTTTCTCTTTTGAGGAAACGGTTGCTGTACTTCACTTGAAATTGGAAAACATGAATGACTTTGATCTCGGCCTCAATTCTCTTGACTATGATCTTTGGCTGTCTGATGTGAACATTGGGGGTGCTGAACTTGACAAGTCTGCCAACATTCAGAAAAAAGGAATTACCTACATTGACCTTCCTGTCACTTTCAGACCCAAGGATTTTGGCTCAGCTCTATGGGATATGATAAGGGGCAGAGGGACTGGCTACACGATGAAAGGACACATCAATGTGGATACACCCTTTGGAGCAATGAAACTACCCATCAGCAAGGAGGGTGGTACCACCAGTCTCAAGAAGAATAAGGAAGATGGAGGTGATGATGAGGAGGAGGTACATTAACCATTTTGTGTTCCAAGTGTTTTGTGTGTGTTTGTGTTTATAGTGGTGATGAAGCAGGAGTAGCATGTGAGGGTGGCCAAGGTTGAAGTAGGAAAAATAAAGAGTTTTTGGGACATTTGATTAAAGTGATTGAGACAACGACCCTAAAAAAGCATATTCCATATGAAAAGTCCCTATAATGTTTTGAAATTTTATTAACATAATGAAGCCAAAACATTATATTGTGCAAATTTTTTTAGGGGCTAATTTGCACAGATGTTTTAGGGGCTAATGTTTTGAATATTTCATCTTGTTGCTACAGATAACACTAGATTAATCATTCATAAAACTATAAAAGTCCCATGACCACTTAAGATTACATTTGTATAATTTCTAATAAAAGAATCATGACCGGATTCTAATAAATAGAAAGGTTTCTACTGCCTAAATGAATTCAGAGTATGAGGGGCGCCGGGCCCGCTGGGGGCCTTCCGTGAAGAGGGTGGATGCGTCCATGTTTGCATTTGTGTATCTTCTTTGCCACTCATCTGCTGTGGATGATGTTTTCCTTTCTTAAGTAAATTATTTTGGTACACCACTACATATTTGTATATACAAGAATTTTGGGACATGCTATTATCTGGAATCATACAAGTGAATACAACTGTTTTCTCCATTGTGATTAACTTCGAGTCTTTGAATAACAATATACTCTTTCCATGTTACTGTTTCATAAGTTAAATTAGTTTCATAAGAATTGTCTATCCTAAAAAACAAAAAACAGGATGAAGAATAAAAAGAACAAGTTAATATAAACATAGAGATTTTAAAATGTTATTCAATGACCATGCATCATTGGCTGCATAAGACATATACTCCCCATGTTTTTTTGGTTTAACTTTTTTGAATTGAGGTTGAACATCATAGTCATGTGCTCTCTAGTATCGGTGTTTACAAACTCATCGAAGTAAATAACTTTCCTGATTATGTTATTTACATGCTGATCACCTCAAGCCTGTCTCTATTGGTGTTTTCAAGTCTTCGCATTTGATCATAATTAACAGGGGCGTACTGCCTCTTACTCTGGATATGCGATATGAACTGTTTCCCTCTCAAGCAGTCAAGCCTCAACCTGGAACATTGGCTCCTCTATTTTGGGTTTGGCATTTTATTTCTGATTTCGTGTTTTAACTTGTACATTGCAGGATTGAAGCTGTGCTTTGAGTTGATTCAGGTAAGAAAATGTCTGTTTGCTGAAGACTGGTTTTGAAGATAATAATTCGAGGGATTTGTACTATGCGCCAATTTGTTTGGACACTATCCGTGCTATGTTTTAGAATATTCATGGAAATTATGTGTTTGTTTTGTTTTACATTATGTGGATGTTATGTTATTGCGATGAAATGCTGATGTATGTTTGTGGTTATGCTCACTAGACAAATTATTATTGTTACGGAGTATTATTATTGTTGTTGTAATTTAATTATTGCTATGATTATCATGACTATTTACAAAAAATTAAAGGTGTGCATATATATCAACTAGTATTTTACCCGGGCGCCCCGGACGAATGTTGTGAATGTTTGAATACTTTGTAAGATATATATATTATAGAATCTTTATATCTTTATATATACGAAGTAATATAAAGTAACAATCTTGGCACCACAATTGGAGGGGAAAATCCCACCCAAAATGAAGACATAATGGTGAATTATTGACAAAAACAAATTTGGTAATGTATTAACTCAACATTAACAAATAAAAAATGACAACCGCAGGTTTCTAAAAAAGTACTCCCTACTTTCTACGTAACACGAGAAAATTTTACAAAAAAAAGAAGAGCAATACAATCCCATTTTTGGAGTTTTTTTTCCCAAACTAGGGTAGTTTGAAAACTTATTTCCTGAGTGTTTTTCTAGTTAAAAAAAAAATTCATTGGTGGGAGTCGAACCCACAACCTCTCACTTGAACCATGAACCACTTAGCTACTATGCTCATTTGATATGGCAAAAAATACCCTAATTTGGGAAATAAGTTTAAAAGTACTCTAGTTTGGGAAATAAGTTTTACAACTACCCTAGTTTGGGAAAAAACTCCCCATTTTTGCTTAAAGTGTTGTAACTTTTTTATTTGTACTCCGATTGTTACAAAAAACATATCAAAATTCATAACTTTTTATTATCTTTCACATGACACCAATATTGAATATATAAAAATAAAACAACACTTTAAAAACATCAATGAATCGAGTGCTACCATATAAAATTATCATGAACCGCAAGTTGAGCATACAATGTTTAATTATCAAGTTTATCAAATTTGTTTGTCATAATTCTATAAGTACTTACCCTGCTCACTTCGTTAAAAGTGCCACTCAAATAAAGTTTATTGCATAATGGAAAGGTAATTTATGAAAATTGGAAGTACGTATTTAGTATTTTAGTTACTTGCCATACTGCTACAGTAATACAAATGCATATAATAATAGTAGTATTAATAATAATAAAAACAACAATAAAAATAATTATAATGATATGAAGGTTAAAAGTTTATCCTTATATTATACTACTTCTGTTCCTTAAAACTTTGCCAAAGTTGACCGGCACGAAGAATAATAAAATAAACACTATGTGATTGAGATTTGTGCAGAGGAAAGAGAAATAACAGAAACGACAAAATAATTGATCAAAAGGAAAAGTGACGAAAAGAGTATAAAGTAACAAAATTCTCGTGTGACCAAGGTTAAAAAACATTGTCTGATCACCCTACGTCCCAGGAAGTCAACATTCACAAGTCTCCTCACATGGGAAGCTAAAATAGCTTTTCCCATGGGGTGAAAAATTCTAGGTACGCCACACTCTAACGTTCCATAGGATGTATCATACGGGAGTCGAGTGAAAGTGTAGGCGATAGGTGGTTCGTTTTTGACAGTATGGAAGACCCTTCTCATAAGGTCTTCGGTCATATCATTGAAATAATAAACGTGACCCTTCTCCTCAAAGCCAACTAGATAGAGGTCAGTGTTTTTGCATATAATCCTTATTTTTTCACCTGTCGAGAGCCCTAGATCTATGAAGACTATGTCCTCAATGGTAGGATCAAGTGGCCTTACATCTTCCTTTAGGCAAGGTATACCCAATCCATTATTTGAGGGAGGTGAGGGAGGTGGTTATGTGGCCCTCCTAGACCGTGTTTTGACTCTTTTCCTAGACCGTATTCTAGACATGATCGGAAGAGAAATGGAGGGGGAAGAGAAATGGGGGCTGGAAGAGAAATGGAGACCATATTCTCTACCAGCCTAGACTGTATTCTAGACTGACCTCTTCCAGCCTCCATTTCTCTTTCAGCCCCCATTTCTCTTCCCCCTCCATTTCTCTTCCGATCATGCCTAGAATACGGTCTAGGAAAAGAGTCAAAAGACGGTCTAGGAGGGCCACATAACCATCTCCCTCACCTCCCTCAAATAATGGATTGGGTATACCTTGCCTAAAGGAAGATGTAAGGCCACTTGATCCTACCATTGAGGACATAGTCTTCATAGATCTAGGGCTCTCGACAGGTGAAAAAATAAGGATTATATGCAAAAACACTGACCTCTATCTAGTCGGCTTTGAGGGGAAGGGTCACGTTTACTATTTCAATGATATGCCCGAAGACCTTATGAGAAAGGTCTTCCATACTGTCAAAAATGAACCACCTACCGCCTACACTTTCACTCGACTCCCGTATGATACATCCTATGGAATGTTAGAGTGTGGCGTACCTAGAATTTTTCACCCCATGGGAAAAGCTATTTTAGCTTCCCATGTGAGGAGACTTGTGAATGTTGACTTCCTGGGACGTAGGGTGATCAGACAATGTTTTTTAACCTTGGTCACACTGGTATCTGAATGCGCTAGATGACAAAGTTCTCGTCAAAGTAAGCAGACCTCAGGCTCTGAAGGGTTGCTGATTTGCTGCTGCTGCATTGCAAATTTTCTTTGTCATCACGTACAACCATCAAAGCAGAGCCGCCAGACTGAGTGCTGCTTATAACTGCCATCCTCCCATCAAAAGAAGAACTCTCAGAGCTTGATACCTGAGGTTCGATGGACTCCATCTGAATGAAAGCCGCTGTGCTGTGTATAAGCTGATTCTCAAAGTCTCCATCATTTCTCTGTGTCCTTGTACCCGTACCTAATGATGCACCGGTACATACGGTATGGTCTCGGGCAGACCCGTCCAATAAGGAACCATTCCTCAGGTGAAACGTAAGGGACGGGGACATACTTTACACACACAAAAACGAGTACACTGTGAAAGGCAGGAAGGTTAGTCACGAAGTGGGAGAATATGGAGGGGACTCCTGTTGCAAGTTCTGAGTAAACGAGGCCGATCCCTGGGACTCGGACGATGCCGAGTGTGGGTCCTAGGCCGAGTAGCCATTTCAGTGGGACTTTGTTGTGGAGATCGAATGTGTACTTCTTGCGGATCCCATAGTGCCAGACGAACATGACGAACAGGAATACTAGGGAGAGGACAAGAGATACCCACCCACCCTGAGGGATTTTAATGACTGATGCTGAAAGGTAGACAAGTTCAATGAAACAAAAGAAGAAGAGGAAGGCGGCGGCATATATGGGGTTTCTTCCCCAGACAAACACGGTGATGAGTGACATCAGAAACGTCATGATGAACATAACTGTCATGCATGCTAGTCCTGAATAAAAATTAAACATATCCCATGATATCAGCACTAAAATTTGAATGACAAATAACAGAAAAGCTAGCTAAACTAAAACTATGACTGCACCGCATGGTTGTATACTTACTGTCATAACTTTTTCATGGGAACAAGCCGTGACAGTGCACATGGTTAATGAAATTACTCTGTTCTATTTTCATTTAAAAACATATTTAAGTGGCCCTTGCAAACTAATATAGGTGTAAAGTGTTGCCCACTCTACTTGTGAGAAACTTCTGGAAGATCTTTGAAAATATATTTGTTGTGAACAATGGAAGAAGGAAAAGACAAAAAAGACTTGGAATTTTATAATGGCACGCCCTTTTTAGTGATATAGTTTCTAAAATAAATTATTGAGTGAAAGTGGGCATATAAATTTAGTAGCGGTGAATTCAGGAAAGATTGATTGGTAGCCCTGCAAAAGGGCATGAAGAAAAGCAGTGTTGAATACTTGAATGAAATGAAAGTCACTTACCATATGCATTTCCAATTAAAGTTACATCCTGGAAACCAATGGCCACTAACAGAGTAAGAATCATGAATATCCAATATATTTCAGGTATATAAATCTGGCCGTAGATATGCTTTGACGTGTGAACAATCTTGACTCTTGGGAAGCATCCAAGTGCATTACATTGCTTGATGATAGAGAACGTAGCAGTGATAATTGACTGACTGGCAACAATAGCTGCAAGGGTGGCAATAACAAAAACTGGCCAGTGCGCACCATCTGCAAGGGTAACGAAGCAAACTAGATCGCACTAGGACTCTGATAGAGTTGCATTGAATCTCAAGAAAAATACTAACCAGGAACTGAATCGTAAAACTATTTGGTACTGAAGCAATGTTTTTGGACAGAAAAGCAGCCTGCCCCATGTATTGTACCACTAAACAAGGATACACGCCAAGTACAAATGCAAACTGAATGAAATGAAAGGAAAAAATAGACTAGTAAGTAAAAGAGCGTTACTGGAACCCAAATCAATAAACTCGCATGCATGAGAAATTGGGTATCCAAACTAGGAAACAGATTGAAATGATAGTATATAAGTACATCGCTACCGGGAATCAATTTGTTAATTATTTTTGCTCCATGGAAGTTCTACCTGTCTTTATTGAGAAATAGGAAATTGAACGGCTTGGTGAGTGGCTGAAAGCCATCAGCCCATCACCCAACAGTACGGCAGAGTTCAGATGAGTTGACATTTAATGGTCCAAAAGACTTTTGAGTATCATTAGATAGGATGATTGACAACTTAACTATCTTGATAGGATCCATTACAAGAGCCTCAGAAGTCAGAAGTACTTTCTAAGTCCCAAAATAAAGAACTCATGTCTGCAATATTGATTTCAGTGTTACAGAAATGACTCTATTTTTGCTGGAAAACATTTCAATTCATAGGCAATGAATCTTCACCAGGGTTGTGTCTCACCGCTTTCTATCATACATTAGTTATTGGGCTTGATGCTTCAACTAACAACACTTCATGCTACACAAGAAACTCTTTATATTTAAAAAACATTAAAATTTAAAGAGTACAGAGTAATATTTTGTTTTCCTACCAAACTTTTAATTTTCACCTTTTCTCAAATAAACAATAAAAAGGTGTTTTCCCTGAAAGCAATTTCTAAGTAACTTTCCCTCTTGGATTTCAACATGAGCAGAAGAATCAGAACATGAATACCACTATGGTGCCCAACGATGTTAAACCCCAACTCTAAAAAAAGTATCATGAGAGGCTTTATATGCTAGGTCCATTGCAGCATATAGAAGAATAGTTTTCCCACAAGACGCGACTCATACTTTCATAGTGATGGAAAAACGTACTTGTACTTACCCTCATTGAGAAAGAATTGAAATGGCCAAGATTTGCAAACATAGCTTCAGTCCCTGATCCAAACAAAAGAAAAACAGGATAAAATGAAGTAATTATTAAAGCTCAAGGTATCCCTAACCTGAATAGCTTCTCTTGTATAGTGGTACTGTACCTGTTACAGATAGGAGCACTCCTCCAAGCGAAATCCATCCATCTTTTCCGGTATGCCGAAAAAACTTGATGATATAATACGGAGAAAGAGCAGACACAATTTTTGGATTCCAAACTATTGTATTGTACAACCCAAGGGAAAAAATTGAAATCAACCAGATTGATACTATTGGTGCAAACAAGAAAGCTACTCTGTGGGTACCAACATGCTGAAGAGCAAATAGACCAACCAATATAATGCAAGTAATGAGCAGGACAGCACCTATCAACAACAAATACTTTCGGTAATTAGCTGAGTATATGAAATGTATTGCAACGTATTCAACTGCTGACAACTTAGAGTCATACAGCAAAAAAATAACTTCAACCTACCATTAGGCAAGCTTTCAGCAGCATCTTGAATCCCACAAACAGATGATAAAACTGCCATAAAAGATGTACACTACAATGAGTTTACTCGAGGTCAAGTGGAAAATTAAACAATTGATCACTTTCATGCATCCAGTTAGTTAGGCATCCACGCTATTAATCCTCAACTATTTGGTTCTGTAAATGATGTTTTAGGGCAACCTTGATCTCATGATGACACTAAAACAGGTAAACACATTATAAATAGATTAAAAATGATCAATATCACTCACCGTCTAAAGAAATTTGAAATTCATAAATAGATTTGATAGTTGCACAATAAATATGGCTACCTGATATTGCAGGAGTGAGCACACCGTCACCAATGACCATGCTAGCCCCTAGCAATACAACAAGGAATAAAATCATCCGTGCTTTTTTATGCCTCTCTATAAACCGCTTCAATGGTAAAGATGACGCAGAAAGCCTAGTGGAGCCATATTTGTAAGTAGATAGCTCCTCATCAGCAGCTTGTTAATTGGGAAGTAGATTAAGCTTTGCATGTCTACAGAGCAGAGTATAGAGCAAAGCTCCCACCTAGCAAAATAATAATAAATACATGCAGCGAAACACAAATCAGGTGGATAATACTCATAATAGTTACAAAATCAGTGAGCAATTGAGCAACTGTTGTGAGTATGTCTGGTTCTATTCTTGCGGGTTAGGGATATTAATATTCATTAGTATCAACTATCATCATCATCATTAGTTGACTACTCATTATTAATTTATTATTAATGTTAGTATTATTTTACTATTTATTATTAGTTATAGTTTTGAATTGGTATTAAGGTCCTGTTTTAGTGTAGGCCCTAACGGCTAACAGAATATATTAGGACTCTAATAAATGCTGACCAAGACTCTTGGGAATAGCATACCTTCACCATTGTCATCTGCACTAAGCATGACGACTACATATTTGAGCAAAGGCATCAGCGTAAGTGTCCAAAAGATCAATGAGAAGGTGCCAAATATTGCATCAGGAGTTTGATGCTTCCGCAACATTTCCACAAATATACTTTGATAGACATAAAGAGGTGACGTGCTCAAATCTCCACATACCACCCCAAGACTCTGGTACGCCAACAGCAGATCTCGGGATATGTTTACCAAACTAATCTTCACGTGCATCCATATATATATTTATATTTATGACATTGATGTTATAGTTATAACCCCGACAAGGATATTATTACACTCACACGCACACATTTACATACATGCATATACATACATATCATGTATTTATGAATCATGTGTGTACATAGAACATGATAAAGGGTACTTAAAGCTACTCAACCACTCTAGAAGGTATGTCACCAGGTTCATCCAAATGGATGTTTGTAGGCAGATTACCCATACCAATCCAATAGCTGTTCACTTACAGAAACTCAGTTGAAGCATTCAAGTATGAAGTACATGTTTATTATGGAATAAATCTTGTGTTTCATTAAAACATTATAGACACAACTACCCTGAAATAGAGAAACTAATTTTGACTCTATACTCTATAGGTATTGAAAACATAGTTGTCATGGCGTCATCTAGGCAGCGACCAGGCGCCCATGGAGTAGGAGGCAATCGCCAAAGCTGGCCGCGTCACATAAAGAACACCGAACGTTGAATGAAATCTCTTAGGCATTAACTAGGCATTCGTAAGGAAGCCCGTGGTTGAATTCTTACCCAAGTTTGCATTTTCTTTCTTACTTTTCTTCTCTCTTTCTTCCTTGTTCTTCATTTTCGTTTCTTTATTTATCTTTGCAGTTACTCTTTTCCCTTAATGATTTTTTTTCCCCATTTCCATAAAAATCAGCCACATAAATCACATTACTACATTTTGCTAAATTTTTGTAGTTTCATTGAAAGTAAATATACATCGGACTCCCATTTTAAATTAATATGATGAAGTACTAATTGACGTATTATGTTTTATATTATATTTACTTGTCGCCTAAGTATCACCTAAGCGGTCACCTAGTCATCCAGGCGATGAGGCAGTTCACCGGCGTCGCGCCTCGCAAAGCCGCCGTGACAACCTTGAATATGAAAACATCACAAATCATCTACCCATTACTAAGTTCACAGCTGTACAATTTCCATATCCAGATTCCATCACTCTACCTGCTGAAAATTATGTACTCTCCATGTTTACTTTCTAAGTTTTAAATGTCTGTCTGAGCAGAAACATGTACGAATGCAGCCTTGCAAGTGAAAAGCAGTGAGTTGGGTTTAATCAGTATTCACACTATTCAGTACATATACGAATTTACTTAGCAAATTACCATTTAGAAACAAGTGTGTGATGATACTTCTTGTGCGATAAAAGACATGTCTTTTCTTGATAAATTACCGTTCTGAAAGATGATTGCAACAATGTGAACAACTCTCAACGATGCCAAATTGTATTGAATACACGTGACCAGAAGAATATATGTATTGTGTAGAATGTTAATACATCGACCCCAACAACATGCAACCCTAACAGCAAAGTTCACAACTTTGGCTGCAAAGACACCTTAAGATTCAATTACAGATTCTGCTATGTTAGATGATGGAACCCATGTGGACTTTTGCAATGACCACCTGACCTTAATAAAGTAACCCTGTAGGTCGTAGGTCTGAGCCCCAAAAATGAAGTTTATCTTTATTTAAAATTAGATGAAAAAAACATTCTCTAGTACTTAGTTACCTGTAATGATCATTGGTTTTGCATTTAATCTTTAGAAATATAAAGCACCGCCTATAGAAGCTAAACAACAAAGCCAAAAGACTGAAATGCCTTGAACCTTTGACAGCAGCTAAGAATAAATACTCGCACTAAAGATAATACAAAAGATGAAAAAATATGTGCAAATGGAGTTGGTGGAATCTAAGAGGAAGAAACTTAGGCCAACTGATGTAACCATACAATGTAAATCAGCCATTTTCCATCACATATTAATCATCAAAGAATAATGTCACTATACACATGCAACTTTTATCACATTAACAAGAAAAAAGAAAATGCTAAGACAGCTAACAGAGCACACTGGCTAGACAGGCTACAAAAGCAGGAGCTTTAAAAAAAATCTACCTTTGAATCTAGTTGCTTCTTTGTAGCACCTTGGCCTTCTTGCCCCCCCACATTGGTTGAACCCTCACCCGCAGTTGTTGCAAGTAGAGGTGGGTGTTTTGTGTCACCTTCTTCACGTTTGATGTCAACTTGATACATATTTCTACCTGTGCCTTAGGCTTTCCAAGATTTAATTCAGACACAATAAGGATTTGACATAAACAAAAATATTGCTAAGGTTGGACCAAAACCTAGCAGCCAAAATTTGTGGCAGTTGGGCAAACTGGAAACATTCTAGGGATTCTGGACAGGGGTTGGCTCGTTCGTATTTGAGGCAGCTAGCGATGAACAGAGGGATCTGGACACAGTCTTTGCGCGCTCATATACGGGGACTAGGGGCGCAGAGATGATCAGCGTATAGGGAATCCTTCAACCCTCCTGTTTTAGAAATAATTGAAAGTAAATAACGAACTGCTGCCATAATTGAAAGTGGGGGAAAGATTTTAAGAACCTAAACTTTGATAAGAGGTGAGATAATTTTATATAACTTTTTATATATAAGTTTTAGTCATAAATTTGTCTCTCACACACATATATATATATATTCAAAATTTTATATAAAAAGTTACTTTTTGCATCACGATTGTATATTTAATAATACATCTGTCCCCTAAGTTTGGGACAAAGAGGTGTTGTGTGATTTTTTATAAAAAATAGAATTTTGTGGTTAGTATTGAATAGATGAAATGTGAATAAAGTATGAATTAATTGTAGTCACTCAAATATTACCAAATATTGTATGAGACAAACTTAATAAAACAAACGAAAAGGATAAAACGGGACAATGTTAGGGGGGGCGGAGGGAGTAACAAATATCATTTTTTTGGAATAATTGCACAATCTAAAGTACTCTAAGCTTTGTTACAATGTAGTTATCATTTTAAAGTTTCATTTTTGAAATAAATAAGATTTCATCTGGCACAATTTAACTTTAATTGCACTCTTATAAACATTTTGTGTAGTTTAAATTATGTACTTAGCATTATAGAGTTACATTTGTGAAAACATATATGATCATGACCCTAACATAATTTTTTATATAAAATTTGGAATTTATATATTGCATGTGCAAGTTTAGAGTGCTTATCTCATACCTATTCAAAATTTGGGACATTTAAATGTTTTTCCCCTTGAAAGTAAGTACTCATATTTATGAAAAAATTAATATAAATCAGAAAGGGAATAGTAAATAGTCATGCAGCACGGAGACTTGACTAGTGTACTGTATCAACGTTTTGAAAAAATATCATGTATCAGATACTCTATGATACATGACTACATGTACCATATTTACCTATGTCGAATCTGCAGTTTATTAAAATTTCCAACTTTTGTAATAGTTATTTTAAAATTTTTGATACACATAGTCTTACGGATACTATCTGCTTTTTTAAATATAAAACACCTAAAAATAAATAATAATAATGTCTTAAAATTATTTTTGAGAAATTTTAATTTTTATTAGAGTATTGTTTTCTATCCAAGAACTTTGATCGCTTTTGATTTCAAAATTGTGATTGTTTGACTTGTTTCTTATTTCAAATTAATTATTCACTTATTGTCTATATTTATATTTTGAGACGCGTGAGCATATATAAGATAATATGAATTATTGTCAACTATCATGATAATGTGAAATGTTTCAAAGCTATTGATGGCCAGGAGGGGACAATGATCATGTAAAGTAGATGATGGAGTATATGGCCCAGGAACCCCCGGCCCATAGACTCCTACTTCTCCTACACAAGTCCATTGAGCCCAGAGGACATCTCAGGCCCAAATACAACGGCCCAAGCTTCAAAGTAGCCCAGAATACACACTGGGGTGCCTTCGGCCTCCTTGGCCGAAAGCTCCAAAACTCACAGGATAGCCTTTTCTGGCATAAGAAGCTACTGGAAGAAAATGGGCAAAGACATGAGCCTTCGGCATTCTCATGCCCTCGGCGCCAGGGGAAGCCCTCGGCTACACAAGGAGCCCTCGGCTACACAAGAAGCCCTCGGCTACCCAAGGAGCCTTCGGCTACACAAGGAGCCCTCGGCTACACAAGGTGCCTTCAGCTGAACAAGCTCAATCATCGAAGATTCCTTTTAGAGACAGCCAACCACCGCATTTAATGCCACGTCGCATCCACCAACCGCATTCAATGCGGTTGACGTACCACTGCCGGTGCCACCAGGCTGATGTGACCCTTCGGCCGTTGGATTACTGACACGTGTCCTCTCATCGCATTTATTGCTGCTATAAATAGCAGCCCATTTCTCCTTGTAATCGACATGACGATCTACATCTCACCTCCACATCTCGAGTTCATTTAATAAAATCGACTCTCTCTCCTCCTATTTGCTCGGACTTCTCTCTAAGTTATTCCCGCAATAACCCCTCGGATAAGATACCCCTGGGTAGACTATCCATCATTTGGTGCTTTCATTGAGAGGTCAGAACAATCAAGTAAGAAACCCTCCCCCTCTACCAAACACAAGACACTTACCAAAAATGGGGAGAACCACCCGTGCCCAGTCCAAAACCCTTGAGGAGAACCACATAGCCCCCGGCGAAACCATTGGGGCTGAGACCTCCAACAGGCTCTTGGTACCCGAGGGTGGTATCATCCTTGAGTTGGAGCAGGCTACTGCTGACCTCCGTCAGCAACTACAGAAGAACGCCCCTGATGCCCGCATTGGCCTTGATAATCGAAGGAGGGATCGGAGTGAGAACCAAGTTCCCCCTCCGGCCTCGGCCATCGATCTTCAGGCTGCCTTTGCGGCCTTTGTTCAAAACATGGCTCTCAATTCCGGAGCCCTCGCCTCTCAGGCACCCCTTCAGCCCTATGCTGGAGGGAATATTATCAACCTACCACCACTCCCTCCTTTGTTCAACAATCCTCCCCCGGGGATTGGCAATGCCGAGGGGGTCATGGCGCAGGATACCGCCTCCCAAGAGGCCCAGTCCAGGGACAGGCGCCCCACGATGAAGGATAGGCCCCGAACCTCTGCACTTGAGAGGCTCGGGGGAGCTCCAGGGCACCGAGGGGTCCAAGACCGCCTCGGGAAACAAGCGCTCAGCAGGCCCCAGGAAAGTGGAGCCTCCGCTTTGGGCGCCGAGGGCGTGCCTCCCCCCCGGAGCAAAGGCAAGGCTCTCCTCCATGCCGATGATGCCAGGCACCAAATCACACAGGCGCAATCCTTCCGGGCCAACTCCCAAGGGGTTGCCCCGAAGGATCCCAAGGACGAAATCATTGAGGCCCTCCTCCGTCAACTCGATGAGAATCGTCAGGCACCCCCGACGGCTTCCACAGCAAGGCCGGACCCAGAGTACGCTGACCTCCGGGCGCAAGTGGAGGAAATGAAGCGTAAGCTCGCCGAGGGCTCCGGCGAGCCCCTCATTCAGCTCCGCACTAGGACGCCATTCACCCCAAGGGTGTTGGCGGCCAAAATCCCCCACAAATATCGGGGGCAACCTATCAAGCCTTATGAGGGGAAGACGGATCCCCAAGAACACTATAGCCGCTATCAAAATAGCATGATGATGATGGGGGCCTCGGATGAATACTTATGCCGATGGTTCCTTTCCACCTTGGAGGGGCCAGCGTATGAGTGGTTCAACCGGTTGCCCGAAGGCAGCATCGATTCCTGGCAGGAACTTGCCCACCGATTCCTCACACAGTTTGCCGGGAGGCATCGCTCAAAGAAACACTTCTCCCACCTCCTGAACGTGAGGCAACAGAAGGAAGAAACCCTTCGGAGTTTCTTAGAACGCTGGAGGCAGGCCTCCCTCGAGGTCGAAGGCGCTGATGACAGGACCCTGATGGCCCTCTTCCACACAGTCCTCCGCAATGGTAACTTCTCTCGGAGTCTTATCACTGATCCCCCCGCGATTATACGAAGGCCCTTCAGCGGGGGGACCGTTATGCCGAAGCAGAGGAGATCGAGAAGGACCGCCGCAACACGGATCCTTCTCAGAAGAACGAGGGCAGGAATCGGCCCGGAGGGCCTCCCCCTCCGACCAACCGGGAGCCACAGTACAACGATCGCTCCCGAGGTGGCCAAGCCAGACCCGGGGGCGGTTACAAGAATAATCCGAAGGCATGGGCGCAACCCGTCCTCCTTGAGCACCCACGCACTCCCTTGACGCATCCCGTCAGCGTCATTCTTGACCATGCAGAAGAGCGGGGGCTCGTTGAGCGAGACTCCCGTACACCCCTCGAGATTTATGCCATCGGTCCTGATGAGCCCTACTGCCGCTTCCACCGCCACCATGGACACAAAACCGACGACTGCCATCAGCTGAAGAACGCCATCGAGAGGCTGATACAGGCGGGCCACTTGTCCCAATTTATCAGGGGCCCTCCGCCCCAGGGTCCCCCTCATCATCAAGGCCCTCCGCCGAAGGCAAACAAGTGGGTGAACCCCAACACCATCCCCTTGGGAAACCCACAAGGGAAGAAACGTGAAATTGGGGGCCTCGACGACGAGGGAGAGGGCTCCCACCAACATTACAAGCGCCACATCCACATGATCAATGGTGGCAACACTGGTGGAGACTCCACCAGCCAGCGGAAGAAGTGGGCTCAATCCCTTTACGTTGGGGAGGTCAGCCACGTGCCCCCAACTAAGAGGCCGAGGGGGGAACCCATCTTCTTCACAGATACGGACCTACCCTCGGGTTCCCTGCCGCATAGGGATGCCCTCGTCATCCGCACTGAAATCAATGACGCCATCATCCACCGGACTTACGTCGACACGGGGAGTTCTGTCAACGTCATGTACCTCAGCACTTTCCAAGAGTTGGGATTCGACAGGGGGTCCCTTCGGCACATAAACACCCCCCTCTCCGGATTCACGGGGGATAGCATCGACGCCGAGGGCGTCATCACACTCATGGTCGAATTCGGCGACGGATCCCACAGAGCCAAGCTCGAAGTGGAGTTCGTCGTCGTCAACCTCGACTGCGCACATAACATCATCCTCGGCCGGCCTGCCCTCGAAGATTTGGAGGCCGTCATCTCCATGAGGCACCTCTGTCTCAAGTTCCCCACACCTACCGGCATCGGTTACTCGAGGGGGAATCAGAAGCTCTCCAGGGCCTGCTACCTTCAACTCACCAAGAAGGTTAGTAAGACCGAATTTCGGATTGATACTATCACCGCCAAGGCCCTGGAGGAAGAAGGAAACAGGCCGAGGGCTGAACCTACCGAGGAGACCGAAGACTGGATGCTCGATCCGGCCAAACCGGAGAGAGTCCTGAAGGTTGGAGCCAAGCTCCCCGAAGACTTGAAGGCTGGCATCACCGGAGCCCTCCGCGCCTACTCCGTTGTTTTTGCATGGGGGCCGGAGGACATGCCAGGAATTGACCGAAGGGTTATCACCCACCGCCTAGCGGTGGACCCTTCGGCCAAACCAGTACAGCAACGAAGAAGACCCCTCTCGGCCGAGAGAAGGGAGTT